AAGGTTGCTGCAGGGAAGGGGTCTCGGGAGGAGAAGTGTGAAAGGGGCCGGAATGGGGAAATCTCAGGAGACTCAGATTGGGGGCACATGGGTGTTAAGAATGGGGCATCTGAAAGGGTTTGAGGCGGGAAGAGGGTGCGTGGTGTGACTTTGAATATTGTTAGACAGCCAGACTCATGGTTGCTTGGTAACCTGATGTTGTTAGGATGGGGTCTCAAACTGAAGGGGCTTTGGGTGCAGCCCTGGAAGCTATGCGTGGAGCTCTTGAGAATGGCTCCCGGTGAGGTCAGAGGATGTTCTCTGTGAGAGGCTTAAGAGGGGCAAAAATGTGTGTAGTTTGATGGGCCCTTGTGGATGGAGTTTGGGGCAGCGGGGCAGCGTTCTGGGTGCACTGTGTCCGGGTGGCTTTTGAGGTGCTGAGGACTCGGGTTTTAGAAACCAAGTAAGTTTCCCTGTAGGGCTGAGGTGAGGCCCTGGCCCTTGATAAAGCAGAAAATGGGATCATAGCCTGAGGGTGGGAGGCTTGGTGACTTCAGAGTGTCCTCCCCTCCCCCACAGGACTGGGTGCATGGAGTTGGTGTCGATGGAGGATCAGGACGCCAGGGTTCCAGCCCTGGAACCATTCAGGGTGGAGCAGGTTGTCAGGACTTGGGGTGCAGAGGGTGAAGATGGGGACTAGAGGGTGGGAGATAAGAGTAAGGGTAATGACTCCTGCGTCTGTGGGCTGGGACTGCTCCCTCCCTCCAAATTCCTTCTTACCCTCAGGATATAGCCCCGCCCTCACCCCCCACTTCCCACCCCCAAAATGGACGTTAGTCCTTTGAGGTCAGGCCCTGGCCTGTCTGGGAACATCCGGAGCCTCTCTTCAGAGTCTGCTCAGTGATACTAGGGCTCCTGTGTAGGTCTAAGGGCTGCACCTTCAGGGGGCTCTCTATCCTAGGCACCACCTGTAATCTACTATGTCCCTGACTTCATCTCCAAGGAAGAGGAAGAGTATTTGCTTCGACAGGTAACCCCAGCACCCTTCTGGTTTGTTTTTCCCTCCTTCCCAGATCCCTCCCCAAACCCTAGGTTCTGTGTGAGAGAGCCTAAGGCTGCAGTGAAGATCCTGGCAGGAAGGAGAGTGCCACCCAGCACCCATCCTTCATCTTCCCTGTTTCTCTCGCAGGACCTGCTGGGGCCTGTCAGAAAGAGCCTTTCCCAGGAGGCTTAGGGGAAACCAAAGTGATGCTTAGAAAGGTAGTTATTACGCAGCTCAGACTCCCTGTGCCCAGTCCAGCCTCCAAAAGAGATGAAATTGCTAGAAACAGATTCCTTATGCTAGAAACAAGGACGTTACAAACCTCCTGCCCTCTGTGCTGAGGTAGCTCAATCCTGCTATCATAGAGAAAAGGGGGTTACAAACATAGGCTGAGATAGCCCAGTTCGGGCCCTTGAGGTTGGAGGAATTAAGAATTTGCAGTTTCAGATTTCTGGGCTGACATAACCCAGGCATCGGAATGCTACAGGGTAAACTCTTCCCTCTGCTGAGATGGCTCAGCATAGACCCAGCCAGAGTCTTGGGAACAAGGTCACCAAGCACACATCACCTGTGCTGAGATGGCCCCGTATTCTGTATTCTATTCTTAAGGTTTGGGGAAAAAAGAATTTACAAAGCTCAGAGCTTTTGCAGCCTCAGACTTTAGTTACAGAGCACAGATCCTCCTTATGCCATCCCAAGTAGTCTTGTCTAGTTGAGTCCCAGGAATAAGTAAGCAACAGGACACAGACTCTTTTTTTTTTTTTAAGAGAGAGGGAGAGAGAGAATCTCAAGCAGACTCCCCGCTGAGCGTGGAGACTGACGCAGGACTCCATCTCAGGACCTTGAGATCATGACCTGAGCCAAGATCAAGAGTCAGATGCTTAACCGACTGAGCCACCCAGGCACCCCACAGAACACAGACTCTTGTGCTGAGGTAGCCCATTCCGGCACCCCACAGAACACAGACTCTTGTGCTGAGGTAGCCCATTCCAGCCCCATAACTGTGAAAGGAATGAGGAGATTATTGAGTAGATTACAGACTTCTTGGAGATTGCCCATTCTAGACTCTTGGTATCTTGGCATTGGAGAATTTTCAAAGTACTCTCTTTGCTATATGCTGAGATAGCCCAGCCTAGCACATTTCCTCCCCCAGGTGATAGGAACAAAGAGGTTCCAGAAGTCAGGCTGTGCTGAGATAGCCCAGGATTCAGGAAATTACAAAGGGCACACTATTTGCTGGGTTAAAAGAGTCCAGTCCAGCCCAGAGCTCTGAGTAGATTCAGACCACGATTGTGTAGCTCTGGTTCCTTTCCTTGATCCTGGTAGACACAGGGGCGAGGGCAGACAACACAATCCTGGGAACACTGTCTCAGAGAACAATCCCACAGACTTTGAGATGACCCATTTCCATCCTAGGTAGAGGGCCTTATGTTGACCTGGGTGGGAGAATCAGAGTGGTCCTGAAAAAGGACTGACCCGTCCCCACCTCCTAGGTCTTCAATGCCCCAAAGCCAAAGTGGACCCAGCTCTCTGGGAGGAAGTTACAGAACTGGGGTAAGTGTCCCTGCCTGGGGGCATGGGCAATTTGGGGATGTAGGCTGGGGCAGATGGCTCAGGTTGGTGACACTGGGTGGGTCCTTGAGGGTTCAAGGGGTTCCAAGGGCCAAGAGGATTCTGAGGGGTGAGCAGAGGTTCTGAGAGATGAGGGATTTCCTGATGAGTTGGGGGTATCTCAAAGTGTCCAGGGGTTTGAAGAAGTTAGGATGCCTTGGAAGCGTCGGATGGTGGTCTCCAGAGTCAGAGGTTTCCCAGGGTCAGAGTGCTCCCAGCCACTGGGATATCCCTAATGGGGGCTGCAGGTGCCAGGGCTCCTCGGTTGGGTGTCCTCAGGACCCCATTGCCCTCTCCCAGGTGGGCTCCCCCATCCCCGGGGGATGGTTCCTGAGCGGCTTCCTCTGTGGCTCCAGCGCTACGTGGACAAAGTATCTGACCTCAGCCTTTTTGGGGGTCTCCCAGCCAACCACGTCCTTGTGAACCAGTATCTGCCTGGGGAGGGCATCATGGTGAGCACACATCTTCGCCCCGACCCTCAGACCTCTGATCCATCATGGGGCAGGGCATCGTGTTGACCCACCTCTACTCATTAAGCAGCCACATACCCCAGCCAGGCATTCACCACCCCCCATCCCAAGCAGGGGCGCCCTCCTTGAGCCCCAGAGGGTGGGGGGTGTGGACTCCTGCCCTGTCCAGCCCTGGTGCCCACTCCCTAGCCCCACGAGGACGGGCCACTCTACTACCCGACCGTCAGCACCATCAGCCTGGGCTCCCACACCATGCTGGACCTCTACGAGCCGCGGCAGCCAAAGGATGATGACCCTGCAGAGCAGGTGGGCCCCGAGACACTGCCCCAGCCACTCGTGGGCATCCCGACATCCCACCTCCTCCAAGAGGCCCCAGTCCCTCCCTGATACTCTTCCAGACACCTTCTCCCCATCCCCTCATGGAATGCACCCACATCCTCCCAGACTCCAGCCCCATCAATTTGCAGGGTGCCCTAGAAATGATATCTGTAGACACCCCAGTACCCTCACCTGCTAAATGGATGCCCCGATGCCCTACGGATCCCCTGGCCCCACATGTTCAGAGTGCTCCAATAGCGCAAGGTCCATATACCCTATGCAGGACTCCCCAGTACTCCAACAGGCACTGATATCCTCAGATACCCCAATACCATGTACTTGCAGGTGTCCCTGACATCCTCTTAGACATCCTCTCTCTGCGCACTGCACAGGGCACCCCAACACAGACCACTCTGCCACTCCAGTAGTGTAGACCTGCCTTGTAGGACAACCTCAGATTCTCCTTGGGTCCTCAACCCATGACTTGCTGCTGACAGACCCCCCCCCAGATATACCGACTCCCTTCTGTGAGGGCTGCGTATGATAGCGGCTTCCCTGACCTTTCTCTGAGTAATGCATTTCCCATACCTCAGGGTTCACAGAAACTCCCCTGGACACCCTGATCCCAGCTGCTCCTTTTTAGCCCTATGTGCTCCTGGATAGGCTGACACCCCCTTCTACTGTGTGGGTGTCCTCAAACATCCTGATGTTTGCAGACAGGCCCAGACCACACCCGCTCCTGCCCACCTCACTGTTGCCCCTTCTTCGCTTCAGCCAAGCCCTCAGTCCAGTTCCATCCAGTTTCCTAGGACTACTGAGCCCTGGGTCCAAGCTGCAGCCAAGGGACTGCTGGTCCTTGCCCCTCCCCCACCTGCGCCCACTAACCGAGTCCCGTAGGATTTCCACTCCAGAGCTTCTCCCAGGGAGCACGCTTGCCCTCAGCCTTGGCCCCTGGGAACTCGCTGACCTACTCACTCCCCCCACCTCCACCTTTAAAGTCCGCTGATCACTCTAAGTGCCTGACTTCTGGGGACCCGCTGACCTTCAGCCCGCCCCGCAGCCCCAGTCCCCACCCCGGCCAGCCACCTCGCTGCTGCTGGAACCGCGCAGCCTGCTGGTGCTCCGAGGCACCGCCTACACGCGCCTCCTCCACGGCATCGCAGCTGCCCGCGTGGACGCGCTGGACGCCACCTCCCTGCCGCCCAACGCCGCCGCCTGCCCGTCGGCGCGGCCCGGAGCCAGCCTGGTGCGCGGCACGCGCGTCTCGCTGACCATCCGCCGCGTGCCCCGCGTGCTGCGCACGGGCCTCCTGCTCAGCAAGTGAAGCCAGGCGCCCGGCCCGCTCGCATTCCCCGGCTCTGCGCCTCCTCCCTCCTGGCAGCTGCGACCCTGTGACCTTCGAACCCTGGGGCTGAGGCGGGAGGCCCCCACCCCCACCCCCACCCCCACCCCCGCCGCGGGTTATTTATTTTCCCTGTAACCTTGTGGGAACTACAGGAAGAGGTCGCATTTCAAATAAACCAATAAAAATCTCTCTGGTTTTGGATTGGGGGGGGGGGGGGCGCAGATGCGTGGGTTCCTGAGGGGCAGTGTCTGGGACCTTGGGTGGTGTGGGCCCTGGGGTCAGATGTATGGGGCAGAATCCAGGGCTCTTGGGTCAGGGTTCTATCAGGAAACCCCTTAGGTGGGATGAATGGGGTGAGCCTAGGTTCAGCTAACTGGCTGGCTAGGGAGGGAGGAGTTAAATGGTACTGCTGTCACCTGAGCTGGGCATCAGGTTACCTGTGTCCACGTTCTGCTTGTTGGAAGGTAGAGCTGAGCCTGCTCCTGGGCCTCTGGCTGCCCAGGAGCCAGGGAGAGGGCTCTCACTGGGGATCCTCACTGACTATCCCCAGGCTCACAGCTATGGCCCTGCCCCCACCTCTGGGCCCTAGACTCCTCTCAGAGCCCCTCAACCACCCCCCTGGAGGCCTTAGGGAACTGGACATGGCTGGATGTACCATCTGCCCTGCATCTGGAGAGGAGAGAAACAGGTAGGGGCTGGGGCTTTTGAAACTTGGGTCCCAAAAGGGTGGGGGCAGTAGTGGGGGCATTTTGAGGGTGAGAGGTACTGTGGCTATGATCACCTAGGGACGTGGCAGAGGGAGCTGTGGAGAGGGGTAAGGTAGGGTGGATAATGGGCACGTAGGCACCCAGAGGCCTGTCAATGCTTCATACCTCTCAGACTGGACCAGGCCCAGAAACTGGGGTAAGATGCCTTGGACCCTCCCCAACACTTCCAGGGTGGGTGGAGGGGCACTGAGCCTGCTGCTGTCCCCTCAGATTGCCAACACCCTCTTCCAGTGAGGACCCAGCTGGGGGCAAACACTGTGAGGTAAGCTGAGGTGATCCAGGCCCCTTGTGGCAGCCCTCACTTCCTCTCCCCCAGATTCTGGGGATGAGATGATGATTCTGGAAAAGCGTTGGGTATCTGTGGTGGGGGAGGGGGGAGCGGCGGAGGATGCTCTAGAAAATGACTTACCAATCACACTAGAAGATTTTCATTACTTTACCAACTGGGAGAGAATTATTTCATATTGACCCTGGTACGGTCCCATTCCTTGTAGGGATATCCAGCTCCATCACCTCTCCCTGTCCAGGCCCCCAGGCCCCATATGTCCATGTTTCTAGGAGCCTTGGAAACCTGGAGTCTTTGAACTAGAGGTCTTCAGGCCTGGTTCCCCCAGGAAGGACTCCAGGTGGGAGCCACCCTGGTGCAGACCCAGAGATGGACGCTGCGACAGGAGCAGCAGCAGAGGGGTGGCCCACCGGCTCTAACTCAGTCCCCTGTATTCCTCAGCACCTCAGCTCCGGCCAGGAGGTATTGGAGGCCGAGCAGGACAGCCTAGCCCTATGCCTGTTGGGGCTGGGCCTCCGGCTGCAGGACCGAGAGCAAGGCCTGGGGCCCTGGGCATCAGCCCGGAGCAGGATGGGCCAGCTGCAGGTGGGCAGCGGGAGGCCAAGCTGTGGGAGGGTGAGCAGGGCCTCAGGAGTGGGTGCCAACTTCCTGGGGTGGGAAATGGGTTTATTCCATGTGCCAGGTGTCTGGCTAGGAAGGACAAGAAGAGATGTAACTCCAGGTCCCAGACCTCTGGTGCTCCTGGTGTGTGGGGGTACGGGTGGGGAGTGGGGGGTGGTGTCTGACCTTGTATCCCCAGGCCCTCCAGGCAGACCTGCGTGGGGCAGCGGAGCGTGTAGATGCCCTGCTGGCGTTCGGTGAGGGGCTGGCACAGCGGAGTGAGCCTCGGGCCCGGGCATCCCTGGAGCAGGTCCTGAGGGCCCTCAGAGCCCACCGAGGCAGCATCTTTCGGCGACTGTGGTGGCTGCAGGCCCAGCTGGTCAGCTCTAGCCTGGTACGGCCCACCCTGGCAGTCCCTGCCCCAGGTACCAATTCCACACCCCCCATGACTCTGTCCTTTGACCAGGTATTTGAGGAGGCCAACCCACTGGATCAGGACTTGGAAGTCGAGGGGGACTTGGACGGGCCAGGACCTGGTGGGGTCTGGGGGCCCTGGGCACCCAGTAGCTACCCCAGTCCCGCAGAGTTGGAGTGGGACCCGGCAGGGGATGTTGGACGCCTCAGGCCCTTGGGGCAAAAGACAGCCTGGACACCAGGAGCTCGCTGTGAGCTGTGTGGCCACAGAGGCCCCCAGAGCGGGGGACAAGGCCTTGAGGTGAGAGCAGGTGGGGGATACCCCTCCCCCACAGGCACCCTTCGGACACCTCTGTGTGTCTCTTATTAAGGTACTTCTTGGTGGCTCTGTCTCTCCTTCAATCTCTCTCAGTGTCTCTTTCTCTTTTGCTGTCTCAATATTGTTCTCCCTCCCTCCCTCCTCCCCGCCTCTCTTGGTCTCTGCATCTTCTGTTTTCCCTCTTGGGGTCTCTATCTGCACTTCCTCATTTCCCCCACTCTCCCTCACTCTCCCCTCTGCAGCCATGTTAGCCTCCTTGTTCTGCATCCCAAAGTCACTCCTATCTCAAAGCCCCCCGACTCATGCCCCTTCATCTCCTCACTTCATTCCAGTCTCTCCCGAAATGTCACAAAAGAATTTTTTTAACTGAGTTTTATGCCCAACGTGGGTCTTGAACTCACAACCCTGAGATCAAGAGTCACATGCTCTACCAACCAAACCAGCCGGGCGCCCCTCCCAAATGTCACCTCTTCAGAGAGGCCTGCCCTGACTTCCAAACATGATCACTCCTTAACCTCTTTATTTCCTAACAGTACTTACCACATCTGGACATTGTACATTTATTTATGTGTGGTCTCTCTCTGCTAGAATATAAGCTCCATGGACGCTAGGACTTTGCCTGTGTATAGATTCTAGAACAGTGCCTGGCATGTAATAGACACTCATTAAATATTTGTTGAATGAATGAATAAGTAATGTCTCTTTTCTCTTGTTTTCTTCGGCTCTGCCCCCTCTCTTTCTCTCTCCCTGAGATCTTTTTCTTCCCCCAGAATCTCATCTCTGTGACAAGCCCATCTTGGCCCTTGCCCAACATTGTGTCTGTCCCTAGTTCTCCAAATACCCCACACCTCTCTTTCCCCACAGGACATGCTCATGTCGGGCTTCAACCACTGGAAACACTTGGCAGGTCACCAAAGATGTTCCCTGCTCCAGAAGTCTCAGGTGAGCAGGTCCTCAGCCACGGCTATCACTCGGGAATCTTGATGCCAAGTGACAGAAACCTAACCCAAATTGAATTACACAAAAGAAAGGGATGCTATTTTTTCATGTAAGTGAAAAGTCCGGGTGCTGCTGAAAAGATCTCAGGTGCTATCAAGGCTCAGTCCTTCCCTCTCTTGGGCTCTTCTTCTTCAAGGTGGTTTCCTTCTCAGCAAATGGCAGCCCCAGTGGCTAAACACTCACGTCCCACTGGTTGACCCGCCCAAGGAGAAGCAGAGCGCCACCAACCTACTGGCAGCAAAGTCTCAGGGCTGACTTCCACTTGGCCAGCTTGAGTCATGACCTACACCCTGAACCAATCACAGTGGCCAAGCTAATAGAGTGCTCTCATTGGCCAGATCGGGCTCACATGCCTAGTCATGGAAGTGGGGAGAGCCCAAAGGCCTGAGGGTGGGGAGGCAGGATGCCCTCCACCCCCTTCACACATTGAACCACCGTTATCAGGAAAAGGAAGACTGGATGTAGGGCAGGCACAGATATCCACCCCACTTGGAGATATTCCAAGGCCATGTGGGTTGGGTCCTAGGGTTCAGGGGGCACCGGGAAAGGAGGAAGTATAAACTCAGCCCTGTAGGTCTGTAGTAGTAAGGAAGAGTCCAGACTAAGTGTTACTTCCATCCATTCTGCTGCTGGCTGCTGTCTCCCCTTAGGACAAGAAGCAGGCATCTCCCAATCTCCAGGACGTGATGTTGGAGGTAGACCCTGGGTGAGATGCCTGGGAGATGGGTCTGGGGAGTGGGGAGCAGGGCTCATGGTGGCAGCGCACCACGCTCTTAACACTGCATTTCCCTTCACAGAGCCCCTCCTCCTGCATCCGGGCACTGCCTGACCTTCCTCCTCCTCCTCCTCTTCCTTTTCCTGGTGGGTGTCACCTTGCTCCTGCCACCGTCAGGGGGCTCCTGCTGCTGTCCTGCCCGACTGGCCAGGACACCTTACCTGGTGCTCAGCTATGTCAATGGTCCCCCCCCAATCTGAGTACATAGCCCGGACATATGTAATAAACGGTCACTGTCAAAGGATGTGTCTTAGTCCGTGTGGTCTACTGTAACAAAGTCACAGACTGGGTGGCTTATAAACAATAGAAGTTTGTTTCTCACAGTTCTGGAGCCTGGGAAGTCCAAGATCAAGGTGCCAGCAGACTGGGCGTCTGATGAGGGCTGCTTCCTGCTTCACAGATGGTCGCCTTCTCGCTGTCTCCTCACATGACATAAGGGGCAGGGAGCTTTCACATGGTCTCTCAATCCCTTCCATGAGGGCTCCACCATCATGACCTAATCCCTCCCTAAAGGCGTCACCTCCTAATATTATCACATTGGGGGTTAGGATTTCAGCATGTGAATCTTGAGGGGGCACGTTCAGACCATAGCAGAATGTGAGAAGATACCGGGTGATTGAGTTCAGAGTTTGGGATACAGCTCTGATGTCTGGACGGCCCCTCCACAGATCCTTTTGCTTTGAATGTACAACACAGAACGAAATCGCCCCATCTCGGGTCGGGGTCCCCCAGCCCCGGAGACAAAGATTCAAGCACAAGTAGTTTACTGGGGAGGTGACCCCCTAAACGGATTGATTAGGGGTGTGGGGGAAGCGAGCCAGGGAAGGCAGTTAATGAGCTGGTTGCTGGGCATCTGGGGTCCATCCCACTAGGGACCTCTGGGAGAGTCTGTGGAACACACTTAAAGTGGTTCCACCCAAAGGGTGAAGAAGTTGTGGCATTTATGTGCCAGCTTCCGTGTCTCATTGGTTAGGGACTGTTCCTGGAATGCCAACTCCCCAGCACTTCCCGCCTCTCCTGCCTGTCCAGGCTCCACAGGAAAGAGGCATAGGTGCTTGCCCCAGGAAGCTTGAAGTGTGTGCGGGAAGGATGCAGGTGACGTGGGTTCCGGCATCCATACAGGTGTTCTGTTCAAATAGTCTACATGGGGCGGGGGGGGGGGGGCGCCAGGGTGGCTCAGTTGGTTGAGCATCTGCCTTCGGCTCGGGTCATGGTCTCGGGGTCCTGGGATCGAGCCCCACATCGGGCTTCCTGCTCTGTGGGGAGCCTGCTTCTCCCTCTCCCTCTCCCTGCTGCTCCCCCGGCTTCTCTCTCTCTCTCTCTCTCCCTCTGTCAAATGAATAAATAAAATCTTAAAAAGTTCTACATGGCGGACTCCCAGACTGGGCCATCCCTGTTGTAGGACCATGAAATCCCACTTCCCCGGGGTCTTGATGACACCAAGCTGAATTGCCAGGGCTTGGTCCCGGAGTCCAGTCTTCAGCCTCAGGTGTCTAAGCTCATCCTCTCCTCGGAGTTTATGCACTCAGGACAAGAGGAACAGGGCCAGACTCAAGAACAGAGGCAGGAGCCCTGTGCCAGGCTCCTGGATGTGCACTAAACACACGTCCCTTCTTTAATGCTCACAGCCACCCAATGGTGCGTCCCCACTTAACAGAACATGAAACTGAGGCTCTTAGGGGAAGAGAGGAAGCCTCTGGCTCAAGGCCACACAGGGAGCAAGTGGCTGAGGCCCAATCCCCACTGATGTAAGCAGAAATGGGAACTGATTTGTGGGTAACTGAAAAGTTCAGGCCACAAGCACCGCTGGGTCCAGGGGCACACATGGTATTTCCATCTCTCAGTTCTTTCCACTGGTTTGGCTTCCCTAGTGGTAGCCAGAGTGCCCCTCAAAGCCTCCAAGCACACATCCCACCTAGCAGCCAATAGGACTTCACTCTTCCCTTACAGCTCCAGAGTCCCAAAACTGGCTCCCCTGGCCAGTGTCACCCGCTCCCCTGGCAGCTGCACTTAGCCCTCCTAAACCATGTGTACTGAAAATGGGGGGGAGCGGGTCTTCAAAGAAAACTGAGGGGCTGTCACCAGAAGGTGGAATGGACACCGAGGGAGGGAGGCAGGAGCAGCAGATTCCAAGAGACTCCAGGTTCGGGGAAAAACCAGAACACAAACCCGGGTCTGTCTTGTTTCCACACCAAGTCTCTGTCCCCAATCAAGGAAGAGCCATGTCTCCCTGGAGTCACCACACAGTGTGTGGGCAGAGTCTTGGCAATACTGACCCAACTGACTAGGTAATGAAACAAGTCTGTGCCATTCATTTTTTCATTCACTCAAAACTGAGTGTCTGCTTTGAGTCAGTCAGTTCCTGGTCAAAGAGCAGGACTACGACAGTGAACACGACAGGTGAAAATTCTTGTCCCCGTGGGCCCGACATTGTAATGGAGGCGATCAACAGTCAATAAAAGGACTAGGTAAAATATGTAACAGGTCAGATGGCGATTAAGTGTTAAGGAGAAAACTAAAGTAGGCAAAGGGAAACGGGATACAATTTAATTAGGGCGGTTGAGGAAGGCCTCAGGGAGACAATTTTGTCATTATATTGTAATTATGTGATTAGGGTAAACTGTAGTGAGGAAACAAGCCACAGGACTCCTAGAGTAGTGCTGTCCCAGACAGATATAATGTGAGGCACAAACATAATTCTATTACTTTTTAAAGGAGATAGAAGTTTACTGAATACACCACAATGGAGCAGTGGGCGGGACAGCAAAGGAGAGACTCTGCTAAGAGGCGGTGGTGAGGGGCTATAGTTACCGGGTGGAGTGAGAAGGTATGGGAATGAATGCAATTTTCCCCTTTTTGGTAATTGTGCCTGCTTGAGGTAGCCCATTGGTCAGTGAAGGCCTATGATTATTTCCAGGTGGGTCGCTTAATGAGCCTTTTTGCATTCAGCGTGGTGGCCACTGGGGGCCCTGTTGCCTTGCTCAACTTTCCATCGCTCAAGCCTGTTGCCTAAAAGTGGCCTCTACATACCACCCTCCCCCACCCCCCGCCCCCGGCCCCCAGATCTGGCATTTGTGTGGAGGGCCCATCTCCATGGGGCACCTGGGTGGCTCAGTCCGTTAAGCATCTGCCTTTGGCTCAGGTCATGATCTCAGGGTCCTGGGATCGAGCCCTGCATAGGGCTCCCAGCGTCTCCCGCTCCCTCTCCCTTTGCCCTTCCCCTCCTGCTTGCGCGCGCTCGCTCAAATAAATAAATAAATAAAAATCTTAAAAAAAATAACTTTTCGGGCGCCTGGGTGGCTCAGTTGGTTAAGCGACTGCCTTTGGCTCAGGTCATGATCCTGGAGTCCCGGGATCGAGTCCCGCATCGGGCTCCCTGCTCAGCAGGGTGTCTGCTTCTCCCTTGGACCCTCCCCCCTCTCATGCTCTCTCTTCTCTATCTCATTCTCTCTCTCAAATAAATAAATAAAATCTTAAAAAAAAAATAACTTTTCTGTGAACAGCAGAAACAGGTAAAATTAATTTTAATAATTTTTACTCTATTTAACACTGTATACCCAAAATATTATCACTTCAATATGCAATCAATCTAAAAATGTGATATTTTACAATTTTTTTCTTACTAAGTCTTTGAAATCTTGTGTGTATTTTATTTTATTTTATTTTTAAATCTATTTATTTGAAAGAGAGTATGAGCAGGAGGGGCGGGGAGAGGGAGAGAGAATCTCAAGTGGACTCCATGCTGAGCATGGAGCCCGACACAGCCTCAGTCTCATGACCCTGAGATCATGACCTGAGCTGAAACCATGAGTCGGACGCTTAACCGACTGTGCCACCCAGGCGCCCCTGGTGTGTATTTTATACTTTAGAGCACATCTCAATTCGGACACTTTTCAACAGATAAAATGAAATGTAATCCTACCAAAACAACAAAGTTGTGTTTAATGGAAAAAAACATTTTACACTGCTTGTTTTAAAATTTAAATTACTGGGGTGCCGGGGTGGCTCAGTTGTTAAGAGTCTGCCTTCGGCTCAGGTCATGGTCCCAGGGTCCTGGGATGGAGTCTCACATTGGGCTCCCTGCTCCGCGGGAAGCCTGCTTCTCCCTCTCCCACTCCCCCCTGCTTGTGTTCCCTCTTTCGCTGTGTCTCTCTCTGTCAAATAAGTAAATAAAATCTTTTTAAAAATTTTAAATTACTTAAAATTTATAAAATTTTTGGGGCTCCTGGGTGGCTCAGTCAGTTGAGCACTCGTCTCTTGGTTTCAGCTCAGGTCATGATCTTGGGGTTGTGGGACTGACTGACCCCAGGTTGGGCTCTGTGCTCAGAGCAGAGTCTGCTTCAGATTCTCTCTCCCCGTCTCTCCCGCTCACTCTCTCTCTCAAATCTTTAAAAAACATTTATAAGTTTGTTTTTTTTTCAAAGACTCCATTTATTCACTTGACAGAGAGAGACACAGCGAGAGAGGGAACACAAGCAGGGGGAGTGGGAGAGGGAGAAGCAGGCTTCCCGCCGAGCAGGGAGCCCGATGCGGGGCTCGATCCCAGGACCCCGGGATCATGACCTGAGCTGAAGGCAGACGCTTAACGACTGAGCCACCCAGGCGCCCCTATAAAAATGTTTTTAATTCCTCAGTCCCAAATCACATTTTTTAAAAGTCTATTTAAGTAATCTCTACACCAGACATGGGGCTTGAACTCATGACCCCAAGATCGAGAGTCGCATCTTCCAACTGAGCCAGCCAGCTGGCCCTCAATCACATTTCAAATACTCAAATCTCAGGTTGCTCCCTGTTATACTGGAGAGTGCAGACCTGGAGGAAGAGTGTTCCAGGTAGAGGGAAAAAGGGCAAAGGCCCCGGAGGTAGAAGTGTGCCTGGCAAGGGGGAAGGCCAATGTAGCTGGAGCATGAGTGCTAGAGGGAGAAAGTAGGAGGTGAGGTGAGACAGGTGATGGGGCCCGATCAGGTGAGGCCTTGTGGACCACAGTGAGGACTTCTGAGTTAGGCTGGGGACCAAAGAGTTTGTTTTGTTTTCCCAACTTCAATTCGGATACTTTGAGAACTTGTACAAAAGAAGGGACAGCATTACAAGTCTTCGCGGACTCATCACCAGCTCCAGTCATTATCAGTTCAGAGCCAATCCTGTTTAATCCTCCCAGGCACCCACTCCCCTCTCCCTAGATTACACTCTGAAGCCGATCCTAGACATCATATCCTTTCACTCATGAGCAATTCCTGGAACATCTCCAGATCGGGACTGTTTGAAAATCGAATCACACTACTTTTATGCTGTCAAGAAAATCCTAGTCATTCCTCCACATCATTCATATCCAGGATTGTCCAATGCTGTCTGAGGGAGGGGGCTGAGCAAGAGTGTGGTAACATGGAGCACCTGGCTGGCTCAGTCGGTAGAGCATGTGACTCTTGATTTTGGGGTTGTAAGCTTGAGCCCCATGTTGGGTGTAGAGATTACTTAAAAATAAAATCTTCAAAAAAAAAAAAGAGTGGTGTAACTTGCTGGTGTGGCTAGTGGTTCCTCATCAGGTACTGTGAGTTTCCCAGACATCCCCAAGGCCCCACTAGATCACCTCACGCCACCCGGTCCCTGGCTTGGCCCCTTGGGACAGCTGCTCAGGGCAGGAAGCTGGCTGTCTCCTGGAAACCCTCTTCTTCAGCTCCAAATGGACCCAAGTAGGCAAGAAGGTCATGGAGTTGGGGCACCATTTGGTGCCACACCACATATTTAATCCATTGTATCCTAACAGCCATATGAGGGAGGCCCTATTATGATGCCCATTTCACAGACAAGGATATTGAGGAACAAAGAGGTTAAATCACAGGTCCATGATCATATAATTAGTAAATGTTGGAGTTAGGATCCGAAACCAGGCACTGCAGGTCTAGAGTCCATGCTCTTAATTACCAATGACCTACAACCTCCTCCCTCAGATCAGGCACTCCCCTCCCTCATTCTCTCTACCACACAAACTCTATACAAGACAAAACAAAACTGAGGCTGAAGAGAGATGAGCAAGCCGAAACAACTGAAGTAGAAGCCATGTGTGCAAGCCACAACAGCCTGTGCTCCGGGGCAATCCAGGCCCCAGCTGGAATCCTGCATTTCTCCCCTTTGTCCCCTCCGGACCTTTGCCCACACTGGTCCTCCTGCTTAGAAGTCTGACTCTACCATCTGGGAAACTCCTTATAATTCTTCATATATCAACTCCACTTTATAACTCTTTGTGCACCTGTGTCCCCCATGGGGATTAGAGCAGAGTCATGTTTCTCTTCTGTCTGTCCTCTCTTTGGTCAGAAGTCTGAGTTCCTTTCCTAAGGCTCTCCTCCTCTTCCCAACGGCATTTGCTAAGAATTCATCTGCTTTCCACTTATGTAACCGACATGGGCGCAAATAGAATTCAGTGCTGCAAAATGCAGTACCCCAGAGAATGTCTAAGGAAGATCAATACAGGAATATGGGAGGAGGTATGCCTGGGCCTTGCTGACAAAAATCCTCGCTTGTAGCTGAGGTTGGACTCTTTAGCCATGTTTGAGGTCCCCAGTACTGCCTCAGGGGTTACCACCCAGGCCGCCTCAGCTCCACCATTTTCTCTCTCACCTCACTACCTTCTATGAAGGAGTCAACTAGGGTTTCTTTGGGGTCAAATTAGGGTGGGTCCCAAGGATCTGCCCAGGAGCAAGAACTAGGCTGCTTTCAACCAATCTGCTAGTTTAGAGGGCTCCAGCGTGGAAGAGACAGCTCTTCTCTATCCCTCCCAGAAGGTCACTTCTTGGTGCGAGGGCACTTTCAAAAATCCCCAAACATGTGAAATCTTTAAGACCACCAAAAGGGAAGTAATCACATCCCCGATTTTATTCCTTTTGTTCAACAGTCCTGGGAGAAGGGTGCAGGAGTCAGGGTTCCCCCTTAGAATTAACAAGTATAGGTCTTGAGGGGTCTTTAGTTGATCAGATGGGGTAAGATATCCCAGCCCCTTCTTCCCAGGTCCTAGTATGCCCCAACTAATGCGAAGAAAGTTTTCCAAAGGGGGATTCGGGGCTTCTCACCATCCATCAGGGTATCTTCCCAAACTTCTCTGCAAAAAGTCTGCTCTTCTCAGAGTTAAATACAAGAGAGGGAAGCCCAGGGTCAAGAGAAGGGTGTCTCTTCTTTCTGTCCGACGGCGGGCGTCCTGCCTCCCAACCTTTCCGGTCAGTAGCTCTCAGCTGGTCACAGTTCAGCCAGCCAGCAACCAAGCCGCCCCAAACCCTCATGGGGAGAGTAGACCCGTCATCATGGATTGGGCCAAGGTCGAGCATCTCTCAGCATCCATCATAGGGGTCTCTAGGACTCCACGTCGCTAGGAGGGCCTCCGATTCCCCCAATCCAGACAGCTGGTCTTCTCAGGACATGTCTTCTCAAGACATCTCACCCTCCATCAGGCGGGCTCCCCGGTTTCCCCACGCAGTCAGGCGGGCCCTCGGTTCCCCTGTGCTACCGGGTGAGCTCCTCGGCCTGTCATCGCCCATCGGGAGGGGTCTCTGGTGACTCCATGATGCCGAGGGGGTTCCTCGGACGAGCACCACTGTCAGGCTGGGTCCCTAGAGCCCCCGCGCCGCTGGACTCCTCGGTTGGACCCCGCGGGCGCACGAAGGCACCCATGGCCGTGGCGTGGCCGGAGCGTAGCAGCTGCAGCTGGCGCCGCCCGCGGCGGTACAGGTACTCGATACGCAGCACGTCGGAGCGTGGCAAGCAGGCGTGCTGCCGGAACTCGGCCCGCACCCGCGCCTCGGCGCCCGGCTTCCCGCGCCCGGCGCGCAGCAGCTCGCGGTACAAGCTCAAAACTTGCCTCTGCAGCCGGCTGGGCCGGCTCATGGTAGCAGCTGGGCCGCGGGCGCTCGCTGGCAATGCCCCACGAACAGTGGCGCCGCGGCACCTTTAGGAGATGCGGCTGTGCGGGGCAACGGGCACTTCCGGCCCGCGCCCTCCAAAACTTCCGCCTCCTGCTGTGTTGTCCCATTGGCTGTCGATGCAGTTACGTCACAACGTTGCGGCTCAGGGGCGGTGCTGTTGGCTCACGGGGGGCCTGCCCCCACAAGGAATCTGTGTCCTTGAGAGGGTACTGCAGGTCTGGGAACACGGAGGAGGAGGAGGCCCAGGCGCTCCTACTCAGATTTTGGGTCTGAAGGGGACAGGATCCCGACCTAACTCTTGGGGTCCTGGGAGACGGGACCTAGAGGGGACTTTGGTTCCCACCTCAGGGTGGTAACCCCTGAGGCAGGACCCTAGAGGGTCCTGGGAGACGGGAACTAGAGGGGCCTTTGTCTCTCCCGGGGCGCAGGGGCATTGGGAAGAAGATACAGGCACAAGCAGGTTTGGTCAGAAGTTATTTATTAAAACAATCTCGGGGAGGTCCGTGGGTTCCCATCCCCAGGGCAGGTGTGCGTCGGGAGGTCCCAGCCATGGGGACACACAGAGGGACGGCGTCAGGCGGTGAAGTGTTGTGTCACGGCTGGCATGACAAGCTTCTCCGTGCTGCGGGAAGAGAGAGACGGGCTGTGAGCTCCAAGTGCCCAAAGGCAGCCTGGGGCTCAGAGAGTTGCGTTGATCGCGCCCTCTGCCGGTGTGAGTCAAGTACCGCGGGAAGAGAAGGGAAGGTCCTCACCAGTTGCTGAAGCCCCGAGCTCGGCACGCCTGGAACACGTCGGTTAGGCTGGCACCCCGGAGTCCTCCTGGGAGTATCAGGTCGTCGGCTGCAATTCCATTGTAGTCTCCGCAGGCTGCTCGGAGGCGTCCTCGGAGCGCGGGGGAGGCCCGCAGAGCCACGGCCCCCTCGGGCCCCACCAGCACCCGCAGCGTGGGGGACCGCTCGATGACAACCCGGGAGCCCTCCGCCCAGCGTGCGACCACGCCCCTGCATACTTGGGCTGGGAGCCGCGCGGGTTGTCCGTTCACCTGCAGATCGAGGAGGCGGGCCAGGGGAGGAGATGAGGGTTTGAATACCACCGTGCGGCTCAGAAGCCACTGTGAATCCTGCCGCGCGTGTCTCTAGCAGAAACACATACGCAGATCTTCGCTAGAGGAATAAGGTCTGGGATTTGCTTTAAAATCCTCCAGCACGAACAGAGCAAAAAGAGTGGGACGAAAAGATGAAAGCATGAAAGGCAAAATATTTGTAACTGTAACAGCGTTTCATAACACCACTCTCTTGTGATGCTTGAAATTTTCCATGATAAACTCTTTCCTAAAAGGGAGCTTTAGAGAACAAAAAGCCTTTGGAACCTGTCGCATCTCTCTCACCTGTGTCTTCATAATCTAATAACTGTTTACACACACACTCTGTGCCAGGCACTAGTCCAAGTGCTCTAATATTTGGTTATTTATAAGATAATGTGTGACAGTATATTGCAGGATATGATGCAGTTGATATTTTAATATATTGTCACCTAACTTATTTTATGTCATTAATGATATTGAAGTATTTAAGTGATAGTAAATCCTCACTAACACTCTGACAAGGTAGATCAGTACTATATGCCTATGTGCCTCTTGCCTTTTACTGATTAGGAAACTGAGGCCCAGAGGGCGCCTGGGTGGCTCAGTTGGTTGAGTGACTGCCTTTGGCTCAGGTCATGATCCTGGAGTCCCAGGATCAAGTCCCACATCGGGCTCACTGCTCAGCAGGGAGTCTGCTTCTCCCTCGGACCCTCCCCCTTCTCATGCTCTCTCTCTCAAATAAATAAATAAAATCAGAAAGAAAGAGAAAGAAGGAAGGAAGAAAAGAAAGAAAGAGAAAAGAAAGAAAAGAAAGGAAGGAAGGAAGGAAGAAAGGAAGGAAGGAAGAAAGAAAGAAAGACAGAAAGAGAAAAAGAACCTGAGGCCCAGAGAAATAACACAGCTTGCCCAGGTTCACATAGCTGGTAAGTGGCAGAGCCAGTTTTGAACCAAAGGGGTCTGATTTCAGGACCTGTGTTCTTAACCATTCTGCTCTACGTACTGTCTCTCCATTAATAATATAGAAGTGGTTGCAAGAGCAATCACAGCTTTTAAAAAAAGGTTTTTTTAAGTTTATTTACTTTTAAGTAATCTCTACACCCAACGTGGGGCTCGAACTCATGACCCCAAGATCAAGAGTTTCAAGCTCTTCTGACTGAGCCTGCCAGGTGCCCCAAAGAGCAGTCACAGCTTCTACTTACTGAGTTCTTAGTATTTGCCACGCACTTTGCAGGAATCTTCACAGCTACCCTAGGTGGTGAGTACTATTCTTATCACCACTTTTTGTGGAAGAGCACACAGGTATAGAGAGATTGAGTCACTCACTCACTTGCCCATAGTTACAATAGAAGTTTAGGAGACACACAGTCAGGGTCTCTTGACCCTTTAACCAAAGGCTCTGGCTTAGCTTATCTGCCAGCTTGTGGCAGATACCCCAGCTGTTCTCTTGCTGGACCATCCACCCACTCTTACAATTAGTCTCCACCACACAGCTGTATTCTGTTTCTCAACATGGGGTTTCAAGCTTGTTTTCCTCTTATAAATACCATCCAGTTTGCCTGCCCAGATTCCAATTCAGCTGCTCCCCTGCTTCCATGTTCCCTTAGGAGAGGCAGGTGCCCTCTACCCTGGTATCTCGCTCTGCTGGATTTCCAACCTTTGTCTGGCTTCTTCCCATCAGCACTTGAACATCCCTGAGTGTCTCCCATCATAAAATCCTAATTGTAAATTAGTCCTAAGATACTCTTGCCCTCTGCCTCTTCCTGGCTGAGCTCTATTCTCGTCTGTTTGACAAGGGGAGTTTGCAACTTGTCAAGAGAGGTGTCTACTCCTGCTAGTCCTCAAACCTGCAATCCAGGAGCTTCCCCCTGTTGTGATTCCTTTTTTTTTTTTTAAGATTTTATTTATTTATTCATGAGAGACAGAGAGAGAGGCAGAGAGAGAGGGAGAAGCAGGCTCCCCGGGGAGCCTGATGTGGGACTCCATCCCAGGACCCTGGGATCATGACCTGAGCTGAAGGCAGATGCCTTCAGATTAACTGACTGAGCTACCCAGGCATCCCCCTGCTGTGATTTCTTTTTTATTATTATTAAATATTTTATTTACTTGAGAGAGCAAGCGAGCACGAGCGGGGTGAGGGCCAGAGGGAGAAGCAGACTCCATGCTGAGCAGGGAGCCCGACGCGGGGCTCCATCCCAGGACCCCGGGATCATGACCTGAGCCGAAGGCAGCAGCTTAACCAACTGAGCCACCCAGGCGCCCTCCCTGCTGTGATTTCTTAAGTCGCTAACAACCTCCTTGGTCCTAAGTCCACGGACATTTACTGGGCTATTTTAAACTCAGTAGTTGATTTTTGCCACTACTCCCCAAATATGGTCCCTCCTTTTCCCTGGCCTTGTTCTGCAACACTCCTCCCTGCTCTCTTCCCCAGCCTAACATCAGGTCCCAGCTCATCTGTCACCTTCTCCAGAAAGTCTTCACTGGTCTCCTAAACTGAGGGTACCTCCTCTGGGCTTCCACTGTTTCCCTGTGCTTTCCCCATTCCAGCCCTGATCACTCTGCCTGGGCTCCCCCCATTAGAGCTCTGATCACTCAGTCAGTAGTTCCCAGGAGTTCAGCTGGACCTGAGTCAAGGTGGAGTCAGTGGGTCCTGAGAAGTCCAAGGTGAAGTTTATGTGGGGTCTAATGGGTCATGTGACATCAGGACAAGGACATTTAGCCAGTGAAGGTCAACGTGCGATCAGGGTGATGCAACAGTCCTATGTTAGAAGGCTACGGAAGGCCAATGAGGGATCAAAAGTCCCCAGGGATCAGTTCCAGGTTACGAAAGAGTCTTGGCTAGAATTGAGGGAGTCCCTTACCCATATTTCCTGATTGGTTCCCACAGCTGCACAGCCATCCCTGAAGCCGATGATCACTCGTGGTTTGTGAGCAGTGCAGCCAGGACAGGGCAGGAAGTCAGCAATGACATGGAACCAGTCAGGATCCTCAGGCCTGGAACCCACCAATGTGGCTAGCTCATAGGCACAGGATGTAACAGGCACGGGTGTGAGCCCACTGAAGCCATCAAAGGTGATGAAGAGGCCCCCTGGCTCTAGGCGGCATGTAGCACCCTCCCCAGCCTCACAGCACCGCACACCCCCATCCAGGATGCAGCCTGTGCCCTGTGGGCAGGAAAAGGGCTGGCACTGGAGGCCTTGACCACGCAAGCACATACAGCGTTCCTGGCAGCCAGGTAGGACCAGTGCCTCCCCAACCTGCAGAGACAGACAGACTCAAAATTGGATTCAAAAAACCATTATGAATATCAACAAAGCATATGTATAAAACATATATCACGAAGGACTAAGTTTCCTTATATATAAAGAGTTCCTAGAAATCAAAAAAAGACCAATGAGTCAGTATAAAAACACAGGCAGAGGCTATGCAGAAAGTTAATAGAAAAGGAAATACAAATGTTTCTTAGGCATTTGAAAAAAATGCTCAACTTCCTAATAAGACAAACACAAGTAAAAAATCCATTGAGATATTTTTTTTCTCTGTGAGATGGGCAAAAATAAAAAAGTTTGATGCGTTTCTCCAGTTGTGTCTCCAAATATCTATTAACGATATTTTTTGACTTAGGATCTAATCAAGTTTTGCGTACTGCACTTGGTGTACTTAATGATCACTTATTGTGATCTTTTAGTCTCTTTTAATCCAGGACAACCCTCCTGCTTTTCATTGGTGTGTGAAAAGCCTTAAGAGCTCTCTGCAAATTCTGATGCGGGGCTAGTGTCAGTGCTGGTGTGGAGTGGACAAGCAATGGCAGAAGTATCAGCTCTTATGCCCTGTTCCTCCCGGTGTGGGCATTTCTTCATTTCCAGGGTGGTCTGGGGTTTAAACATTGTTTTTGCCTATCCAGTGGCCCCTAATCTCCAAGACAACTATGTCAGCCATCCTGGGGGTCCTTTCTTTACTTCTGAATGGACTCCCAAGAGCGCAAAACCTTGAAGGGAGTGCTTTGCCCGCTGAGGGTCCATCCACGGTCTTTTGGGAACAGCCTTCCACTTTCTTTGGGGAACTGGCCCCACTCTCAGTCTGTGGGGTTTCCTAGGTGGTACACTGCTCTCTGGCTTCAGCTCTAGGCACATGCCCCAGGCGTGGCCAGTCAGAGACAAATCAGAGTACCCCATCTCCCGGCTTCTGTGACTGGCTTAGGGACAGGCAGATGACCTACACTGGGACAATAGGAGTCAGCACTGGGACTTCTGCTGTAACTATTGAGAGAGAAGCCTGTCTCTCCACGGAGATGGCTAAATGTACATCATAAGCTTGGAGCAGGAGGAGACAACCATGCCCTACATACAGATGTGGCTGGAGAATGAGGCTATGCATGTCTTCAAATATCCAGTCTCCATTTCTTCCCCAGAATTAGTATTTATAGCTGCACTCAGGACCACCCAGTGCAAGACATGTCTTCCAGCTGCCTCTGCAGCCAGATGGGGCCCTTCTGTGAAGTTCTGGCCAATGGGATGTGAACAGAAGTGGTATGTCCTACTTCTGGGTTATGCCCTCAAAGAGAGGAGGCGTGAACCTCCCTGTCCCCTCTCCTTTCCTGGCCAACTTGCATGAATGTAGATGTGGTCGGGAGCAGACGATTGCAATACTACAGGGGAGGCAGAACCACATGATAGAAGGAGTCTGTGTCCCTGACTTGAAGGAACCAAACTGGTTATTCTTGGACTGTTCATGAGAGAGAAATAAGCTTCTATCGAGTTTAAGTCACTGCAGTTTTGAGCCTCCGTTACAGCATTTGGACCTAGAGCCTACTTCATATAGAAGCCAACATAGAAAAAGGAAAAGGCAGGGATGAAAGACAAAGAAACTTGAGTCCTAGTGACATCATTTGAGCCCCTGAATCCAGCCATGCCTGAAGGCCTCAAATTTAAACAATTAAAGGTAGATATATCCTTGTTGTAGTTAAGATACTTGGCATCATTTTCTGTCATTTACAACTGCAAATGCTGACTGATACAGTGTGGTCCAGGGAACATCCTATGACGAGATATGGGAAACTCCGCACCCACCCGCCCATGCCTAGGGACCTCTCTTACAGGGATGTAGCGTCCACGGTCAAAGCAGCCGCAGTGGTCCTGAGACACACAGTCTGTGCCATCAAAAATGAGTCCAGGGTCACACTGGCAGCCCTCATAGCATTGGGTAGAACAGTGTGCAGGGCTGGTAGGCTGGACACAGCCTCCATCACAGGTCCGTGCGCAGATGCTGTAGTGGCTTCGGGGTGGACAAACCATGGCTGCAGGTGGATGGCAAAGGCCCGTGCTTAGGATTCAAGTTTCCCTCTCCAATCCTGTTGCCTCCTGCTCTGGTCAGGCTAGCGTCCCATTGATATTTTCCAACCTTCACACCTTTGCAATTACAGTTCTCTTTCTCTTGGATGCCCTCCCCACCCCCCTACACTCTACTTAGCCAATTCCATCTATGTCCAGGCTTCTCTGATCCCCATCAGGATGGGCTCTTCCTGCTGCCTGCCACCTGCCCCAGATACATTCCAGACCCAGCCAGAGCACTCACGGCAAAGCTTGGGGCCCCTCCAGAGCTTCACAGGGATGCCAGCTTCCTGACAGGCTGCAGTAAAGGCAGTGAGGGCATCACAGAGACCAAGGTGCTGGCCATGGGTATGACATATGTCTTGCAGGCATATCCTGAGGAAAGGCCTGGGGCTGATATGGCCCAGGCAGCGGCCAAAGGGACCATCTGGTGCCCGTAGAAGTCTACACAGTTTGGAAGCATTGACGATCTGGGCAAGTTGTGTGGGGCAGCTGATGCTAAAGTCAAGATTGGGCTGGGGCAGCGGGCAGGGGTTAGTGACCAGGCCCTTGGGCCAGGATCTTTTGTCTAGAGGCAGGTCAAGGGGGCCAACTTTGCCACCAAAGGCCCCACAGATCCCCACCAGCTGGCCGTGGAAGGTGGAAGGCACAGTTAGGCGCACCTGGCTGCCCCAGTCATACATGAGATGTAGCCCACAGGCCGTGTACACCACCACATGGCGGCCCTCCAACGTGGCCCAGGCCCTGCCCTCTGCCCATACCCAGGGCAGCTGGCAGTGCTCACCATCCACCTGCGGAGGAGGAAAGGGGTCAGGATTGGGGCTGTGAAGGCTGAGCCTGCTCCCATGCCATTTCCCTGAACTTTGCACTTTGCGTTTGCTCTGCCTGGTTTGCCCCTTCCCAGATGTCCACATGGACCCCTCCCTCACCTCCTTCAGATCTTGACTCAAGTGTTACTTTCTTGGTGGGGTCTTCCTCATCACCTTATTTAAGTGCTAAACCTCTTTACTCTGTTCTTACACTCTCTCTCTTCCCGGTTTTATTTTTTTCATAGTTCTTATACCCATCATCAGATGTACTACTTATTTTACTGATTTATTTACTTATCATCTGTTTCCCTGGAGGAATGTGAGCTCTCCCAGGACTTGCTCCCCATCAAATCCTCCAGGGCTTTCCTGGACCACAGAGAGATTCTCCATACAATTTACCGAAATAATCCTGAATGACTGATTTTCTCCAATCCTGGGTAGGAGGTGATAATGCATACCTAACAGTGACGCTTTAGTGAGCCATTACTGTGTTCCAGGCAATGCTTTTCTACCTTGTCACATACTTGCACCATCTCTTAAGCCTTGAGGGGCAGACAACGCCCATTGTTTTTACACATGGTGGGGGAAACTGAGGCGCTTCCAGGAGGGAGAGGGCGGGGCGTGGGCGCAGTTCAGTGGACGCCTACCGTGATGACGCCGACAAGGGTGCGGTCTAGCTGCAGGTGGTGCCCGGAGAGGTTGAGGTGCAGGCTGAGCAGCCCGGCCCCATCGCGGGCCACGTCTAGGCTGAAGGGACAGGGCCCCCGGCTTGCAGTGCGGGCCAGCACGTGGAGGCAGGGCTCAGAAGGGGAGGGCGCCGGCGGGGGCAGCGTGAGCACGCGGCCATCGAAGGCGAGCACGTGCGCGGGCCCGGCGAGGGCGCAGCTGCCTCGGCCTTCGGGGAGACACTGGCGCTCGCCTCCGCGCAGGCCGCACACTCGCCCGCGCCGGCACGGCCGCGGCGCGCACGTCACCGCGCCGCCGGGGCCGCAGTGGCAGCGGCGCGCGCAGCGGGGCCCGGGGTACCACACTGCCTCCAGAGCTCGGTAGCGGCCGGCGCGGAAGCAGCCGCACTTGGCCTCCCGCACGCAGGCGGCGCCGCTAAGCACGAAGCCCGCGTCGCACACGCAGCCTTCACAGCAGCGGCTGCCGCTGGCGCCGCGGCCGGGGCAGCTCTCTCTGCCAGCGCACGTGACTGGGCAGCACGGGCCGCACAGCTCGTAGTGCGAGTGCGGCGGACACCGCAAGGCTGGGGAGAGCCGCGGGGGTGGGAGGGTCAGAGCGAGGGGAAAGAGATGGGGAGACGCGGGGAAGAAATAGCGAGGGGCAGAGGAAGGCGTAAGCCGGTTGAGAGGAACAGACCGTTAGAAGGAGACGGAGGATGGGGGGCCCGGGCGGGGGGCGTGGAGAGCAACACCGCGGGGAGAGAGAACGAGGAACAGAGAATGGGAACGTGAGGTAGAGACAGTGAGGCACACAGAAGCACCGGGGAGACAGAGAGACAGTGACAATGAGACAGGCACAAAAGACAGGAAGATCTCGTTAATTAAACTGTTACCCCTCCAGGTCTAACTCCTCCGCAAGTCCCACCCTTCTGCGCCTGGCTCCACCCACCCAGGCCTGAACTTCCCCATTGGTCCTCCCGCGTCCCCCCCCCCCCCCCCCCGCCCGGGTGTCCCAAATCCTAGCTCTTCCGACCTTCTCCCGCTATCTCCGCCAACCCCCGCGCACTCACGACAGAAGTCAGGCGTCCTCCAGGGCCGCAGGTGCACGCCCAGAGCCTGACAGGCGACAGTGAAGGCGGCCAGGGCTCGGCAGACGATGTGACGAGCGCCGTAGTGGCGACACACGTCGTCCAGGCAGTTGTCCATGAACGGGAGCGGGTCCAGCGCGGCGTAGCATGGCCCGAAGGGACCCTCGGCCGCCGCCAGCAGCCCGCAGTACGCGTCTCCAGCGAATAGAATGCGCTTGGCCACTGGGCACGGGCTGGGACAGAGGGACCCGCAGAATGGGCCACAGCCCGGCACTTCTGCCACCTTCCAGGTGTCGGGCACCTGCACGGTGGGGCTGCTCGGGCCGTGCTGGCCACAGAGTCCGCACAGGTAGGGTCCATAGAGCCTCGGCAGCGTTACACGTGCCAGGCTGTCCCAATCGTAGGTCAGGGAGAGGCCGAAGTCCGTGTCTACGCAGAGTTGGCGGCCTTGGTAGTAGGCACGGAGGCAGTGGCCGTGAAAGAAAGGCAGCGATTCCAGAATTCCATCCACCTACAGGGAGGGCATGCAGGTGGCGAGAACAGCGGGGCAAGGATGTAGGAGATTTCAGTAGAAATTCTTGGAAATGTCAATAAAAGATCAGAGAAGGATCAAGGGGAACATTGGTTAATAGGGGTAGTCATTAGGAATCATAAGGAGATTCAATGGACCATCAGTGGAGGGTAAGTAAAGGGTTCAGTGGTAGAGCGATTAGATAAGAGTTCATGAGGGGTCTGTGGGAGATCAACGAAGGGTAAAAAGAATAATTAGGGAGTCAGTAAGCGAGCAATGGGAGGATCAAGAAGAGGGATAATGGCAATGTGGATAGACAAATATAAGGTGTATGAGGATCAAGAGAATGCTTAAGGTGGCTTTGGGTGGCAATCGGGAGGCTCAGCAGGTGAGTAAAAGGGGGTGGAGTCAATGATTTTTAATGGGACAGTCTAAGGAAGGCTCCATGGGTGAGACTAAGAATCAAAGACAGGCACAATTGGGATAATAGAAAGCCCTGAGGATTCAATGGCAATAGGAAGCTCAATGGGAAGATCCATAGACATGTAAATAGTATCAATGTCGGTGGATTACTAGGAAGGTTAACTGATAGCTCAGTACATATCTATGGTGTGTGGAGTGAGATCAAGAGGACAGTAATAGGGTTAATGGGCAAGTCAATATAACAGTGGTAGGATCAGTTGGGGAGGGGCAATGAATGGGTTCATGGGATATTCGATGGGGGAGAAAGGGAAGGTCAATGGAAAGATCAAGGCTGAGTCTATGGTTAAAGGGGAGTTAACTGAGGACTCAGTGGAGGGTTAATGGGAAGGTGATAGGAGACTCAAGGGTAATAGGAGTCTCAGAGAGTCGGTGGGAAGGGGTCAACAGGCAAGTCAATGGGCTGTTAAGAAATTGGAGGACATCTTTGAGGATCAGTGAGAGTCAATAAAGGGGGCATCAGCAGGAAAAGAGGGGACACTCCAGGTTACCTGTGGGTAGTGGGGACGGTAAGGGATAATGGGTTGATCTGGAGCCTTTGAAAACTCACCCGGATGTGGTTGAGATCTTTTGGACTCATGTCCAGCCTCAGGCCACAGGCTAAGAGGGTCAGGGCCTTGGTCCAGCCACGTGGCCGCAGCAGTGGGGTCAAATCCAGGCTGAAGGGCTGAAGGTTGGCATGGGCTGTGCCACAGAGACCCACCAGGCGGTAGACACAGGAGCCAGGGAATTCATAGTGGGTTCCTCCAAATGTGTGGAAGTGGAAGTCTCCAGTGGCCATGCAGACCGGTGACTTTTCCAGGACAGTGGGACCGGGTGGGGACTGGGCTAACAGGCAGTGGTACCAGCCACCCGTGGAGGCCTTGCAGTGACCATGGCACTTGTCAGGCCAACACTGGGGAAGCTTGCTCACCAGGGCACCAAGGGTCGGGCAGTGGCATTGCTGAGTACAGTTGTCTCTCCAGAAAGTCCGGCCTTGGTGCAGGAAGCAGGAGCAGTGGTCACGGGGCACACATCGGCCCCCTAGCAGCAGGTAGCCAGGTAGGCACTGGCAGGTCGGAGCACACGGGTGGCTACAGTGATCTGGGGCAGCGGGGTTGGCACATGTGGCTGGGCATGCAGAGCCACATGGAACAAAGCGGGAGTTTTCTGGGCACTGAGGACTGGGGCTGGGGAGCAGGGGTGGGAAAGGTGGGGAAACCAGTGGTGGGGCCACAGAGCTCGGCACAGGGGCCAAGGTGGCTGTGGGGGAGAGAGAGATCAGGCACATATGAGTCCCAGGGGTCTGGGTCACCAGTCCTCTCCCTCCCAGGACTTAGGAGTCATGCCCCAATCTCTGACCCCTTAGACCACAGCCCTGGGCACCTTGCAATCGACAGCCTAGGACTCCATCTGTGATGCCACAGACCTCCTCCACAGGGCAGCTGAAGGGGACACAGGCCACACCCTCCCCTAGTTGGCAGGTACAGGAGGAGGAGCAATTCTGGATGAGGACTGTCTGGCCAGGCTGTGGAGGAGGGGAGGGAGGGTGAAAAGGGAGGTAGCATTGAAGGGAGGGTGCAGCCAGAGGTTCTGAGATGAGACCCATACAAGGAAGTGCATGGAGATCCAAGGCAAAGTGGGAGGACCCAAGTGAAGCTCCGACAAGGACCCAGGAGGATGCTCACAGGGAAGTACTGGCCATGGTGGAAGCAAGGACAGTGGTCCGCGGGGACGCAGTCACGCCCAGCTGGGAAGAATCCATCCTCACACTCGCAGCCCTCAGCACAGGGAGTGGGGAGCTGCACCACTTCCTGAACGCCGGGACAGGCCGCAGGGCAGGGGTTCACACACAGACTGTAGTGGCTGTTGTGGAGGCACCGCATGGCTGTGGAGAGGGGGCTTGTTAGACACAGGCAAGCCAGGGGCATACCCTCCGCTGACCCCGCACCCTCAGATTGCAGACCTCCCCCTCGGATTAACCTCGACAGCAATAACAACCAGCAGGGACTGAGCAGTGTCTGCATGCTATGCAGGGCGCTAGCTACTTGAATGCATCCCAGATAGGACTAACATGGCTTCCCTGCTCTTTGTCTTTTCTGGGGTTTTCCCTCCCAATCCCAGTCCCAGCTGAGGGGGTTGACTATTACTTGAATCACCAAGTGATCCCACCTTTTATCCTGCTTGTCTGGGTCCATTGGGGACTTGTCAGTGGCTTCTAGTGGTGGATGTCTTTTCTTGCCCTCTCTACCCTTCTAATAATAATACCCCCACTTGCTTTCTGATAACTACCCATCCTTACTTTACTTTCAACATGTGGACTGAGGTGATTTCACATCCAGGTTCCAGGGATGTGTACGGAACCCAGAGCTGGCTAATCAGATTATTCTTCCCTCCTCTGGATCACAATAACTGGACAGGCAAAACCCGTGGGTGGTGGACCCTGGGACTTCTGCTGGGGCCACTGGGAAAAGCGTGTAACATTTTTGCAAAGGCTTTGAAGCTGATAGAATTGTCAGCCTGAAGTTGCCAAAGCCTTGCTGGTACCACAGAGGAGAATCTGCTTGAGAATAAAGCTAGCACAGACAGAGGAAGGAAGGGACGAACAAGATGGAGAAGGAGAAAAATTGACTTTTTTTTTTTTTAACTGCAGTTGGAAATTCTTAATCCCGCTAAGCCTGAGGATAGGAACACCCTCAGTCTTCGCAGTTATATACGCTTCAGATTGTTTGGTCTTTCTTCCTTCAGTTTGAGTTGGGACTCTGACGTTGCCATTAGGAGTCCTGCTTGATATAGTGGCCACATTGTGTATCCATGACCAGCTAGTTGGGCCAGGGCTGGGGAAATGACCATGACAGACAGAGGTGGAGGTGGCCATCAGTCTGTAAGTAAAGAGCAACCCATACAGATTTCCTCCAAGAACATTTGAACGTAGAGGCAGAAAGAGGTCAGAAGGAGATAGACACTGATACCACAATGATAAGTCAAGGTGGGGCCGAGAGTCCATGAGGATTATGGAGGATACATGTGGACAGAGAAATTGGAAGTTGATGAGAATTTGTTATATGAACAAAATATTCAGGTGCCAGCTAGTAAGTCATTTTCTAGGTGTGTGACTCTGGGCCAATTCCTTAACCATCTATGCCTTGGTTTCCCTCACCCATAAGATGTACTTGCCTGATGGGGCTGTTGGGAGAATTGAGAGCTTAGCACTGACAATGCACACAGTGAGGTCAGCTGTTCTTTTTGTGTTACTACTGGAAGTATTTTTACATTATTGTTGGGAGTGAAACTATAGCATAGGGTGTCAGAGAGAGGATTCTGGAGCCAGGTGACAAGCCAGTTCCGCCCCCTGCTGACTGTGAGATCTGGAAAATTCTCGGTGCCTCTGTCCCCGACTATAGGAGGCAGACAATTGTCCCTCTCTCCTAGAGCAGCTCACAGATGGAGTGAGCTGACTTAAAGCAGGTAAAACAGGTTCTCAGACCCAGCCTTGTGTCCAGGTCTCCTGGAGGGCTTGTTAAAACAGATTGCTGGGTGCCACTCAAGAGTTTCTGATTCAGTAAGTCTGGGACAGGGCAAGAATTTGCATTGTAAACAAGCCCTGAATATTGCTGCTGCAGCTGCTGGTCCAGGGGGAACAATTTTAACACAGCACCCGAAACTGAATGAGTGCTTTTTAAATGTTAGCTAAGGGATAAAATCAAATCTGTTTTCCCAACCATAGGGTGTGCAGGACTCTGTCCTGTTTGGTGCTGTATCATTAGCGTGGGCCCGACACGTAGTAGGCCCTCAACTAACACCTGTGTTATGAATGAAGCCCAGACCGCGGTCTCCCGCCGCGGACCCCACCCGACCGGAAAGCCCTCTGGCGGGGGACGTACGGCAAAAGCTGGGAGCCCTCCAGGGCCTCATATCCGCACCAGCCGTCTGGCAGGCAGCCACGTAGGCTTGCAGGAAGGCACAGAGCACTTTGCGGTTCCCGCCGGCGCGGCCCATGTCGGCCACGCAGGCCTGGAAGAAGGGCTCGGGCGGCAGAAGTGCGTGGCAGGGTGCCAGCGGGCCGCCGGGCTCGCGCAGGAGGCCGCAAGAGCCACGCCACGCTGCGTCTGCGCCCGCGGCCTCGGCGGCCGGTGGACAGCCCGAACCCGGGCAGGGACGTGGCGCCGCGCAGGGCCCGGGCCTCGGCAGCTGCAGGTCATCCGACGCCTTGCCGTTGAAGTTGCCGCAGAGGCCGCGCGTGAGGCCGCGGTAGGCCGCAGGCAGCTCCACGCTCAGGTGGCCACCGGGCCCGAAAAGCAGGCGCGGGCCCCCACGCACCGCGAGCACCACCGAGGCGCCCCGCGCGAAGGCGCGCACCCTGCCCTCGGTCAGCTGGAAGGGCAGGCAGCGCCGCACGCCGTCCACCTGCGGGCAGGGGTGGGGCAGCCCGCAGTGAGAGGGGAGGGCCGGGTCTGGGGAGAACTGGGAGGAGTCTGGGAGGAGGGGTGGTGCGGGCAGTGTGTGTAAGGAGGAAGAGAGGTGGTGTGCCAGAACGGGGGAAGGGTGCACAGGGACTGCCGGGGTGATAAGAGCGACAGTGGGTGAAGGAGAGGAGTCAAGGGGTAGGGATATTCAAGGCAGTGCTTGGGGAGTGGGTATTGTGGGAAGGTGCGTGGAGACCTAGAGAGGGGAAGCTGAGTGAGGGGGAGGGAGGGTGGTGAGGTGGGCCCGGAGTTCAGGGAGAGAGGGGAAACTCCTTACTCAGGGACCGGAGAGGGACCTGAGGGCATCCGTGGACCTTGGGGCTGGGAGGCAGCAGAGGTCGGTAGAGCGGGGAGGGAGGGGGGGGGGGCGTGGAGGCAGGAGGAGGAGAGAGGGGAGGGGCCACTGTGGAGAGGAAAGGAGGGGGAGACCTGGAGAGGAAAGGCAGTGGAGAGGCAGGGGCACCAGAGAGCGGGTTGGGCCAGCAGGGAGCAGGGGTCAAGGAAGGCTGGGTGGGCTTCGTGGGGAAGAGGTGATGGTAGTCGTGGAGCAGGAGAGGGCTCATGGAGACCCCGGTGGAAGAGGGAAAGAGACCGAGATGAAGACTGGGGGTGGGGGAGATAAGGCGGGGTGGGTGTGGGGGGTGAAGAGAGAGAGGAAGGAAGTGGGAGAGACAGAGCCTGAGCAGCATGGAACGGGGATGTGCAGACCCAACTATTGAGAGAGGGATTGAAAGGGGAAGGGGCAAGAGGAGAGGGTGGGGGAAGTGGAGAAGGGAGAAGAAGGAGGAGAGTGGAAATGAGGTTGTTGGAGAGAGGCGGGCATCAGGCGGCGGCACTCAGAGACCCCACCTGTCAGAACAGAGGCTGCCAGGCAGCTGAAAGGAGGCGGAGCACAGGGCGGGGGCTCACCGTGATGTATCCCCAGTCCTCCCAGTCTAGGCCGAAGCGGTGGCCGTGCACGCAGAGCAGCGCGCGGCGGCGCTCGGGCGTCCGTGGGCTTTTCTCCAGCACCACCTCGAAGGGCCACACACCCCGAAGGCGGCCCGTGCCCGTGCTCACCAACGAAGAGGTGCAGGCGCCCGGGAGGTGGAAGGTGGTGCCGTCGAAGGTGCGGTAACGGAGTCCGTCTGAGGCGAGGCAGAGGCCTGGGCCGCCCGGGGCTGAGCGGCAGGGTTTGCAGACCACCCGGCCGCCAGGGCGGCAGCGGCAGCAGCGGCTGGTCGCGGGGTGCGGGGACGACAGCGGCGCGCCGGGTTCCAAGTAGCGGCCGGCGCTCAGGCAGCCGCACTGAGCCGCGGGCACGCAGTCGGCGCCACTCAGCAGAAAGCCCGCGTCGCACACGCAGCCCTCGCGGCAGAGCCCAGGGCCGTCGCAGCCAGGCGGTGGCTTCAGCCCCGCGCAAGTGGCTGAGCAAGCCGGAGCGCACAGCGTGTAGCGCGAGTGTGCGGGGCACAGGGGGCCTGCGGGAGCAAGTGCGATTGGAGGATTACTTCAAGGCATGTGGCTGTTGGGAATCTCCCCCTCCCCCTTGGGGCTAGGATGGGGCATCTGGGGCCCTGCAGGGGTAAAGCTCTACTTAGGCAGAGCTGCAGAAACCTCCAGATGGCAAAAGACCAGGTGGTGTGGATCAGAGGCAGAGCTAATCTGTAGGGCTTGGATGGGTAAGGGTTAGGGGGCTGGACCATGAACAGGTTTGAGTCCCTGAGAGGTAAGGGCTGAAGGGCGGGACCATAATCAGGGCTAAGAAGAAGGAAGGGTGAGAGCTGGGGGCTGGACTTTCGTCAGAGTAGGCCTGACACTGGATGGGCCAGTCTCGGGGTGGAGGGATGGGTGGAGGCTGGCTCAGTGGGAAGTACAGGGTCTCAGGGATACACTGTGCAGGGATGAGCTGGCGCCCTGGGATGAGCAACAGCCAAGGAGCTGAACCTCTGTCAGGAGTGGGACCAGGTTCCCCAGATGAGCAAAGGTGGAGAGGCTGACTGAAGCCCTAGGCACTCACTGCACAGACTCGACTTCCGCCAGGGGAAGACTTGGCCACCCAGCAGCTGGCAAGTTTCACAGTAGAGGCTGAGCATGGGGCAGGGTCCAATGCCTAGACATACATCCACCATACAATCTTGGACATAGGGACCTGGTGCCAGCATCTCATGGCACAGCTGGAAGGGCCCCAGGGGGTCCAAGAGGATGTCACAGATGTGGGCAAAGTGGGCTGGGGTGCTGGTGGTCCGCAGGGTGACACAGGATGGTGGCAGTGGCGGCATCTTGTCAGCAGCATCCGGGCACCCAGTCGGGGAACCCACCAGATAGCTATGGCCAAAGGCCCAAACCAATGCATCCTCAGGCAGCTTGGTGCCCAGCACAATTCCAGGCACCTGGAGGTCATCCATGGGATCCCCATTGTAGTCAGCACACAGCCCCACCACATGGCCCATATATGCTGCTGGAAGATCCACTACCACGCGGATCCCGGGGGCATAGGTCACCCGCAGGCCAAAGGGGCAGCTGACCACAGTGTCCCAGCCATGGCGAAAGATGAGGGTACTGTTGCTCACAGCCTGGAATGGTAGATTCTGCCAGTCTCCATTCACCTGTGTGAGGAAGGTATGTCAAGCTGGGGCTCTAGGGACCCAGTATCAGTACCAAGGATGCCTATGTCCCTAGGTAAGAGCAGGGCCTCTAGAAGGCCTTGTTGAGGCACTAGGGGTCTGTCTACAATAACCTGAGAAAAAAAAAGAAAGAAGAAGAAGAAGAAGAAAAAAAAGCTTGGGATGCTGTCCACGGTACTGCTAGTCTTTCCAACAAATACTTGGATGGTGAGAATTGTGGATTCTGGGATTTGGGCCTGTAGTGTTCCTGGATCAGATTTGGGGATTTGAAAGTGACAGCCTCTCAAAGTGACACATGTGCAGTGTCTGGCACTTAGTCTGTGTTCAATAAATATTTGTTGAACTAATGCATGGATGAATGAATGAGGCTCATTGGCTTGGTCAGGCTGTAGAGTCCTAGGGATGCTGGGATTTCTAGATAATGGCTTCTAGGTAATGCAGGGTGCTGTGCAAATGGCTCAGGGCGGGGAGGTCTGTCCACAACACATACAAATGTTGAAGCCGCTATCCATGGTCTAACCATATTTGCCCATAGCAGCTGGGGCTAGGGGTATAAGAATTGGGGGTGAGGGTTTTTAAGCTTTGGGAATTGGGGATTTAAAATTCCTGGATTGGGTCTGGGGATGCCACTTGGACTGAAACTGGGTCTGAAATTCAGTGAACACATATAACCTGTGTTATAGTGCCTGCAATACAGTAGGTATTCAGTAAGTGATTGTTGAATGAATAAACGAGATTCTTGGGTCAGGACTGGGGTTTCAAGAGCCCAGAATCAGCGCTAAAAGCTCGATTATCCTGGGGCCCACAATGAAGGCTCTAGGATTCTTGAGTCAAAGCTAGGAGTTGTTGTCCCAGACACTCCAGGCCAGGAGTAATTGTCTCAAACACGTAGGTTGAACTCTCTGAAACTGCCACATTTGTAGGGGAAAAAAAAAACAAAAAAACCCATCAAATATTGGCAGCTTCATATGGTCCAATTTTAAATAACTACATGTGTCAGGATAGTGAACTGTGATAATTAAGAGTCCTTTGACTTTGGAGTCAAGTTATCTGGGTTCAAATCTTGGCTTCTGGTTTGTTTAGCTGTCTCACTTGGGCAATTTATTTATTTATTTATTTATTAAAGATTTTATTTATCTGACAGAGAGAGACACAGCGAGAGAGGCAAGCAGGGGGAGAGGGAGAGGGAGAAGCAGGCTTCCTGAGGAGCAGGGAGCCCGATGCGGGACTCAATCCCAGGACCCCTGGGACCATGACCTGAGCCGAAGGCAGACGCTTAACGACTGAGCCACCCAGGTGCCCCTCACTTTGGCAGTTTATTTAACTTCTCTGTAAAATGAGAAAAATAATAATATTCACTGGGAAAAAATTGTTCTAAGGATAAAGTAAGGACTTGTAATTGTGCGGCAGTGTTTCTTGGGGCATCAGAGAGATCTTAGGTTCTGGGATTAGGGTCCCTTAGGGCCCCCTAGGGCTAGACCCCTGGTCCCAGGAGAAGCATAAAACCTGGTCCTAACTCACATGCCTCCAGGGGCCAGGCAAATAACTAAATGAGTGAAGTGGAGAGGGTGGGTTGTGATGGGGACTGTGACAAACTGGAGAGAAAGTATGTGTCCCTGGCTAGAGAGGAAAGTCCCAACCACAAGTGGCCATTAGAATAGGAGACCCATTGCCAGGGCTTCTCGTTTCTCAAGAGATACTATACGTCCAGCCTTCCTCATTTAAAAGTGGTAATTCAAATTAACAAGTCAGGAAACAACAAATGTTGACGAGGATGCAGAGGAAAGGGAACCCTCTTACGCTGCTGGTGGGAATGCAAGCTGGAAAACAGTATGGAGGTTCCTCAGAAAGTTAAAAATAGAGCTACCCTACTACCCAGCAATTGTACTACTAGGTATCTACCCTGAAGATACAAATGTAGTGATCTGAAGGGGCACCTGCACCCCAATGTTTATAGCAGCAGTGTTCACAACAGCCAAACTATGGAAAGGGCCCAGAGGCCCATCGACAGATGAATGGATAAAGAAGATGTGGTGTGTGTATATATACACACACACACACATATATATATATATATATATATATATAGTGGAATATTATTCAGCCCTCAAAAAGAATGAAATCTTGCCATTTGCAATGACGTAGATGGAACTAGAGGGTATTACACTAAGTGAAATAAGTCAATCAGAGAAAGACAATTATGTGATTTCACGCATATGTGGAATTTAAGAAACAAAACAGGAGCAGAGAGGAAGGGAGGGAAAAATAAAACAAGACAAAATCAGAGAGGGAGACAAACCATAAGAGGCTCTCAACTATAGGAAATAAACTTAAGGTTGATAGAGGGGAGGGGTGGGGGAGGGGGTAGCTGGTAACGGGCATTAAGGAGGGCACGTGATGTAATGAGCACTGGGTGTTATATGCAACTGATGAATCACTGAACTCTACCTCGGAAACTAATAATACACTATATGTTAATTAATTAATTTAAATAAAGTAAAATAAAATAAAATAAAAGACTTATAAAAACAAAAATATACCATGTTGGTGGGCTGGCAAACTCAACAGTCTGCCCAGTTGGAGTTATAGATTCAATGCAATCCCAATAAAAAAATCCACCCCAAAATTTAAAAAGTGGTAATTCAGTAATAAATTAAAAATATTGCCAAGGCAAACTCCTGATGCAAAATAACTGTTGGTGTCTGGGTCCTGTCCTCTGTGGTCGGTGAATACTCAGCCCCATGGCCCCACAGCTCCTCTCCCAGTGTCTCTTCCCAGGGCCTTTCCTACCTCGATGAGAAAATTTGCCATGTTAAAGTGGTGTCAGAATCATTGGGGACTCTGAATTATGTTTCACAAAGGAGGTAGCTGAGGCCATGTTTTTTTTGTTTTGTTTTGTTTTGTTTTTGTGTTTGTGTGTGTGTGTTTGTGTGTGTGTGTGTGTTTTTTTTGCAGAGACAGCATAACAGACCCTGGAGCCAAAATGCCAAGGTTTAAATACCAGCTCTGCTATTTATCAGCTGTGTGACCTTGGGCAAATGGCCTCACCTCTCTGGGCCACAGTTTCCTCATCTGGAAAATGGCAATGCCAATTGTATCTACCTTAAAAGGACTCTTGTGCATTATGTGTTATTATATTGGCACCTAGTGAGTGCCTTCCATGTAGCCTTTCCAACAACACTACAACCTCTTTTCCTTTGCCACAGGAAGTTATGCGGGACTGGGTAAGGAGCTTCTGGACTTAGAGTTTGGTCCTAAAGAGTTAAGGCTTGAGTTCTGATTTGGGGGTTAGTTTTGGGGGGTTTAAGTTAAGCGGCTGTGTCAGAGATCATGGGGCAAGAGGAAGGAGGTGGGAGTCCTAGGTTGAGGGTCCAGTATCATAGGACAAAAACTCAAGGTGTGATCCTAGGGTGAGGTTAGGGGGCTCTTGGGATCAGGGTTGGGAGTCTTGAGGTGAGGACCCTGGGTAGGAGGTCATAACGTGGGATCCCTGGGTGCATGTGTGGGCAGCGTTGGGATTTTCTCACCAGGACACGACCGGGTTCCTTGGGGTCCAGCCTCAGGTGGCACCCAGACACGAGCACTTCGAGGCTACCCGGGAGGCCATCAGGACCGGTGCCCAGGAGCACACGGAAGTCCGCCAGTTCCTGCGGCGCTGGAGAACTAAGGCCGCTCAGCAGGTACACGCAAGAGCCGGGAAAGCGAAACCGGCGTCCATCGAAGGTGATGTAGTGGCCTCCGCCGGCCGCCACGCATGTCCCCATGCTCGAGGGCACACACGTGCGCAGGCCGAGTGACAGAATGCAGCGCTCACCTGGCCTGCAACCGGCCTGGGTGCAGATCACGCTCCCTCCTGAAGCTGGGCAGACGCAGCGGCGCGTGCAGCCCACGCCCTCCCATAAGGTCTCGCCTGGTCCCAGCAGACGTCCCTGGTGCGTGCAGCCACAGCCATCAAGCCCCGGGCGCCGCAGGACGCAGTCAGGGCCGCTGTGAACGTAGCCGGCATCACAGGCGCACGTTTCCCCGCAGGGCAGCGGGCACGACGCTCCCAACCGACCCATGCACGTCTCTGGGCAGGAGGAGCCACACGGCTCGTAGTGGCTGTTGTGGGGGCACTCGATGGCTGGGGGCAGAGGGAGAGGAAGGTGGAGGGGAGAAAGTGTTCACATCAGGATCTCCTAGTCTGGTTCCAGAGACCTAAGTATTCAGCTACCCCTGAAATGGAGACGTTCTCGCCCTCAGCTTCCAAGAGTCGTGCCCAGGATCCTGGGGATCCTCCTCCCCTAGAATGGAGGCTTTCCAGCAATCTCCATCTCAGAGTAAAGAAGTTTTTATCATCAGAAACCAGAAGTCCCCTTTCCAGAACATAAAAGTCTGGCCCTGGGACACAGAACTCTCACCCCAGAGCCTGGAGTCCTCGACGCCTAGAGGACTTCTCCACCCACCAAATCCAGGAAACCTGTCTTTTACTAATTCTAGACCCCAGGGTCCGGAAGCCTTCGCCCTAAGACTCAAAGACCCCAGACCCCAAGACCTAGGTGTTCCAGGTCCCAGAAACCAGAAATCCCGCCCCTAGGGTGAAGAAGTCTCCATCCCCAAACCCAACGAACTCTGCCTCTGGGGCCTTGGAGGTTCCACCGTAGGGACCCTGCAGGCTTGCCCCAGGAATCAACTCCAGCATCAAGGAGTGCCAACCCCTAAGTCCCAGAATCCCCTTCCCCAGTAACCCATAGCCTTTTCCATCTTAAGGCTCACTCACGGCAGCCAGTCTGGAATCTCCAGGAGTTGATGCTGACACCCAGGCGCTGACACGCGTGCGCGTAGAACTGGAGGGTCAAGCAAAGCGCAGGTCGGTAGTTGGGAAGGGGACAGATCCAAGCACTGCAGCTGGTCTCGAAGGGCGCAGGCAGCAACACGTCGTGGCAGGGGCTAAAGGGCCCCTTCGGAGCTGCCAGGATGGCGCAGGGCCCCGGGGTCTCCGGTGGGGCCGCTGGCTTGGCGCAAGGAGCAGCCCAGAGGGCGTGGCACGGCGCATCCGGAGGCTGCAGGGCCCAAGTGCGCAAGAAAGCTCGCGGGTCCGGACCTCCCACATCGTCTGTCGGGTCGCCGTTGAAGTTGCCGCACAGGCCCACCAGGTGCGCACGGTAGCCGTTGGTCACTTGCAGAGACAGCGCGTGCTGCCAGTCGTACACCAGGCGCAGCGCGGGCGGCTCATGCTCCAGACCTGCCTCTGCCCATAGTTCTGAGCTGCGGAAATGCAACCGCAGCCTTCCGTCGTGCAGCGTCGCCGGGAGCCGGAGCCGCTGCTGGTTCACCTGCAGGCGTGACCCAAGAAAGGGTGCATTCCTGAGCATTTGAGGAGAAGTGGAGGATGGAAGCTGAGGGGGTTGGATTTGGGGATACTGAGGGAGTGGGGACTTTGGGGCGGTAAGGTGGGAATGAGTTAATATATGAAAAGCACTTGGAACAGAGTCCACCTTTCGGTTCATATGAGGAGGGTTTTCTAGGTCTATTGTCCCCTAACACTAGAATCTGGAACCTCCAAATTCTGTGAGCTTTGGACCTATCCTAGGACCACATGGAGCCACTGGCATATCCCAAATTTCTCCTCAGGGAATGTTTAGAGGCATTGTTCTGGTTGGCAGGTCACTCCATGCACTAACCCAGAGTTTTTTTATTTTTTAATTATTTTGTATTTATTTATTTTAGCCAGGAGTCTTGTTACCAATACCCATATGCGACCTCATGCAAAATCCAGAAGTCTTCCTCTCAGGAATCTAGATAAGTGATTCTACTAAAGAACCTCCAGTTCATTAGAGAGCCTTCAGCTAGGACCCCAGTGTCCTTTCCCCAATTACCAAGAGCCTCCACCAAGAGCTTCCAGATCATATGATATCTCTCCTCCCAATCCATGATTTCCTTTTTTTGCGTCCACCCACCAAGAAGGTTACCAACCCACATTTTACTCTCATTCACCACCTCCACCCTGGTCCAATCATCATCTCCTGCCTGGACAATGGCAGTGACCTCCTCACTGGTCTCCTGGTGCATCCTTCACAAGCCCCATAGTCTGTTCCCCACATGGCAGCCACGGGGATCCTGTTAACACCCAAGTGATATTTCATCCCTCCTCTGCACACAATCTTCCCTTGGCTTCCACCTCACACAGAATAAAAGACCAAGTTGTTGCAAGAGCCCATATGGCCGTATACAACCCACCCCATGGTCTCTCCTCCTCTGTACCACAGTCTCTCCTTTTCAGCCTGGCTTCTTGCTATTCCTCTAACGTGCCTATGAGATTCCCCCCTTAGGCATTTGCTGTTCCCTCTGCCTGAAATGCTCTTCTCTCAGATGTACACATGGCTCTCTCCCTCATCTCTTTTAAGACTTGGCTCAAGTTTCATCTTCTCAGAGAGGTGCTCCTACTTAAAACTATGCTCTCAGACATCCTGATGCCACTGCCCTGATCCATTTTTTCCTCCTTAGCATGTATCACCTTCGAACATACTACATAATAACTTCTATTTATTGCTGATCTTTCTCCACTAGAACATAAGTACCATGAGAACAAGAATTTTGTCTATCTTGGTCACTGATGTGTCCTCAGTGCCTTAAGCAAGGTCTGGTACATAATAACAAAACATTCCTTAATCGATGAAGAAACCCAGGAATGTCAGGTCCTTGGGAGATGGGGGCTCATTTGATGAGAGTATAAATCTGGCACCCTGTGGATTTGAAGGTGCTAGATATCTGGGTAGGGGTGCTGGTTGCTGGGGAGCCATAAGAGCACTTGGGGAACTCCTGACTCCTGAGTGGCAGGGTGAGTTCCCAAAAGGTGTGTGGAGGGGAGTACGGAGCATCTTGGGCTCATGCATCGGGTCCTAGCATCCTGTACTTCTGAGCTTTCCATATATTAGCCTATTTGATCCTCCCTACAGTCTGATGAGTTCAATCTTTTTGTCATCCTGATTTTACAGATGAAGAAATTAAGGCCCAGAGAGTTTAAATAATTTGCCTAAGGTCATACACATAACAGGTAGTCAACCTGGGACTTGAACTCAGGCCATCAGCTTCCAGAGTCCATTGTCTCTCTAGAGTGGTGCTGAGGAGTGGCTTAGTATATCCATAACCTCATAGGTTTGCTCCCTCTAGCAACCCTGATTAAACATATTCTAGTCCCCACAACCTTCCAGAGTAATGCCTCCAAACCTTCCCTGAGGAGAAATTTCACCATGCCAGTGGCTGCCTGTGGCCCAAGGATAAGTCCAAAGCTCACAGAATGTAGAGGTTCCAGTTGTCAGTGTTAGGGGACAATAAACATGGCAAACACTCCTCAGATGACACTTACCATGAGGTGGACTCTGTTTCAAGTGCTTTTTGTATGTTAACTCATTCCCACTTCACAGGAACCTGTTAACATAGGTGCTAGAAATCCACGATCCCTTAGCCACAATCCCCAAATGCAAAAGTGGCCTGAAGACTAAGATGTTTTGTGTATTTGATGTTAAAAATGTAATTGGCAGCAAAAGCTGACCTGAACTCATGGTATGGCTGCTTAAAGTCTTATTTATTCCATTTAGTGTGAATATTCAGACATTTCACTGCAGAGATATCAATGCTTGTAATTATGTAACACCTATTGGGATTATTATATAATATATGGCATTTGCATGGGATGGCCACTTGAAATTCTAAAATCTGAAATGCACCGGGCCCCAAGCATTTTGGATAAGAGACTGTGGACCTATATAATTGCCTCCACTGTAGAGTTGACAAAAATGAGGGACAGAGAAGGATACAGTTTCCCAGGATTCCATACATAATGATTCTTACCTGGACAAAGCCGAACTCATGCTTGACAGCAGTGATAGTGACACCAAAGATGCGCATCGTGACAAAGTGCATGGGCTGCCTCTCTCCAGAGCTGGCGATCCACAGCTGGAAGGCAGGGAGGCCACTGCGGAGGGCCTGAGGGCAATGGCTCAGTATGTAGGAACAGCCTCCAGACACAGGGAAAGAGTAGCCATCGAAAGTGTAGATGTATGGTAGCCCGGAAGCCCAGCAGGTACCCCCTGTGATGTCCCCCTGCCCCTTACTAGAGACACCCACTGTCTCCGACTTGGCCTCAGACACCATTTTGGACCCAGCCACAGTTTCAAGTTCTTGCTTTGCCATCGTCACAGCCTCTAAGCCTGGGTCAGTCACTGCCACCACCTTGAGCCCCAGCTTGGCTGCTGAGATGGTTTCTGACCCAGCCTTAGACACTGTCTTGGGTTTGGACTCTGGTTCAGCTGTGGGCACGGGCAGGGGGAAAGGTGCAGGTGCTGGTTCAGTCACAACCAGGGTGTCAGGAATTGGTTCTTTTAGAGCCAGAGGTTCAAGTTCTGGTTTAACCAAAGCTAAAGATTGAGGCTCAAGTTCATTCACGACCACAGATACAAGCCCTGGTTCCGCTTCAGGTGTGCTCTCTGATCCCGGTTTGGCCACTGCCGTGGTTTTAGAGCTGGAGATGGACACTGTATTAGAGTCCTTCAGAGATATTGTCTTGGGACTGAACATGATCTCAGTGGCCTGGGTGCTGGCCACACACTCAGGTTTGTGCTTCACAAGGTGACATGTGGTCCCACTGGAGCATACATGGTCCTTACAGGATCCTGGGAACTGGAGTGGCATCACCAGGGAAGATTCTAGGAGGGGATAGAATTCTGTAGGAGGGTTCAGATCTTCCTCACTCAGAATATCTGGAGATGAGATGAGATGAAATGATGCAACAGAACTAGATCCTGGCATTTGGTCCCATCCCTTTCCTGCCTGCATGCCCTAGGCCTCCAGGGTTGATGGAGACTCAACATTCATAAGCTAGCAGGGCTCCCAATCTAAAATGAAGTGGGCCTATATCGTCAGAAAGAAAAAGGTGGGGCTGAAGGACAATACACAAATGGTCAGCACAGTGTGGGTATACAATAGGGTTGTATGAGCTGGAGAACACAGAATCCATCTAAGGACACCAATCAGTTATTAACAAAATCTATGTGCCAGTAAGTCTAAACACAACTGTGGGTTGATTTTGGTCAGTGAGGACTTCCAGCTTGCCATGTTAAACAGCCTTAAAAATGTGTGTGTGTGTGTGTGTGTGTGTGTGTGTCTGTGTGTGTTCTGTTGGGATCTAGCCACCCCATTTCCCAGGGAGGGGAGTTATTTTTTTCCTAGCTGTTGATGCATGATACTAGACACCTACAAAGTGAACTTTTAAGAAATAACTTTGTTCTGTAAGGGTTTGCATATTTTCATCAAAACATAATACAGAATTTGGGATGGATTAGAATATGAACTAAAGTATCAGCTCCTTTTGGTAGGAATGTTTCTATGTTGTACATTGTTGCATCTCCAGTACCCAGAACAGGCCTAGCCTGAAGTAGACCTAAAATACATTGTTGAAAATTCATGATAGCAAATGTTTACTGCATGCCAGGCACTCTTCAACCTTCAACTGCTTCCTCTATAAAATGGGGATAACAGAGGCTCCTGGGTGGCTCAGTCAGTTTAGCATCCAGCTCTTGGTTTCAGCTCAGGTCATGACCTCATGGGTCCTAGGATCTAGCCCCACAGTGGACTCCGCTTGGCAGGGAGTCTGCTTGAAGATTCTCTCCCTCTGCCCTTCCCCCCACTCTCTCTCCCTTTCTCAAATAAATAAATAAATCTTTTTAATTTTTTTATTTTATTTTTTTAAATTTGATGATTTTTTTTAAAGATTTTATTTATTTATTCGACAGATAGACAGCACAAGCAGGCAGAGTGGCAGGCAGAGCGAGAGGGAGAAGCAGGCTCTCCGCCGAGCAGGGAGCCAGACGTGGGGCTCGATCCCAGGACCCTGGGATCATGACCTGAGCCGACGGTAGCCGCTTAACCGACTGAGCCACCCAGGCGCCCCAAATAAATCTTTTTCAAAAATGGGGATAATAAAGAGACCTGCCTCCAGAGTGGCTGTGAGGAATACATTGTATAATGTACATACATTATATATAAGAGCATTTACTGCTTAGCTCATAAGTCTAGACTATAAGTCTGCATAAAGCAGTACAAAATAAAAAAATACAAAAAGGTGGTTAAAAACTCGTGCTCTGGAAGCAATTAGACTTGGGTTCAAGTCCTGGCTCTGCCACTTCCTAGCTGTGCAAACTTGCCAAAAGATTTAACCTCCAGCCCTTGCCCTCCCCAGGAAAAAAGGAATTATTACAATACTGTTCTACAGTCAACCTCAAAGACTAGCGGGAAGGTCAAGCACCCATTATTTTATCCCTTCTCCTGACCCCACCATTTACAATTTACACTGTAGTAAAGATAAAGAACATGTGACCTTCAACAGTAGCTTCCTTTTTGAGCCCTGGGCCTGGCATATGATTTGGTGCACATTTAACAACTTATAACCATTATTACTCATTCCACAAATATTTACTAAGGGTTGGACACTGTCCTACCTAAAAATCGTACATTTAACCGTGTATCTTAGAACTTACTTAAATTTTTTATTTATTTATTTATTTATTTATTTGAGAGAGAGAATGAGATAGAGAGAGAGCATGAGAGGGGAAAGGGTCAGAGGGAGAAGCAGACTCCCTGCTGAGCAGGGAGCCCGATGCGGGACTCGATCCCGGGACTCCAGGATCATGACCTGAGCTGAAGGCAGTCGCCCAACCAACTGAGCCACCCAGGCGCCCCAACTTACTTAAATTTTTTTTAAAAAAGCATTAACTTCAAGGAACTGATGGGAAACAGAGAAAGAGAATAAGTATATAGAAAGTGATATGAGCTGGAAAAAAATCAGGGAAGGGCTGGAGTTTGTCAGGGATGGGGAATTGCGATTTTAAATTGAGTGGTCACTTTGGCCCCGGTAAGAAGGTGGCATTTGAGCAAAGACTCGAAGGAGATGAGGGTGAGATCCATAAAGATATCATGGGGATGGTCAGTGTTATGGCTCAGTTGGTTAAGCATCTGCCTTCTGCTCAGGTCATGTTCCCGGAGTCCTGGGATTGAGCCCCACATAGGGGTCTTTGCTCGGCGGGGAGTCTGCTTCTCCCTCTGTTCCTGTTCTCTCTCTCTCTCAAATAATAAAATCTTAAAAAAAAACAAAACAAACCCACACAACACTGTAAGTACTGTGCTTTTGCTGGGTGTAATAATAATCGCATGCAAAGATTTTGAGTGGAGGAGGGAGTGATTTGCATTAAAAAAAAAACAAAAACCAACAACCCTGCCCCTCGGGCGGCTATGTGAGCAATTGAAGGTAGTGTTATGATTTTCCCAGTCCCTGATCTCCTGGAATCCCATCGCCTGCTCAACTTCCCACTGTCTTGGGCCCCAGTGCTGCTCACCCTCTCTTGGCTGCCCCATGGCCTGGGTCCCGAAGCCCGCGCCAGGGCCGGTGCCGAAGCTGAGCACGCCCACGGGCAGCCCGCGAGTCTCCAGGAAGTGCACCACTCCGGGCTCAGGTCCATATGCCACCTCGGTCCAGACGAAACCCGGAGCGGCGGCCTGGCTTTCACCAGAATGCTGCCCGTGACGCGGTTCCGGGCCGCCGGGGATTAGGCGCCAGTGCAGGTTGGGCAGCGGCTGCTGATCAAGGAGCACCGGGGTGGGCTCGCGCGCCAGCAGCACCGCCACGTTGGAAAAGCCCGGCTGCGCTGTGAGCGCAAAGCTGCGGCTGAACGCGTCCACCGGAGGCAAGAGAGCGAAGAAGGGCTTGTAGGCGACGCCCCCGCGGGCCGCAGCTGCGGCCAGGAAAAGCACCTGCAGGCCGGCAGAGGAGCGCAGCACCAGGGGGCGCACTGGGTCCACCGCGAAGTGCATCACGACTCCGCTGCGCAGAGCCTGCGCCCCTTCGGCGCCGCCCCCCCAGAAGCTCAGGCTGCCCAGGCCGTCCGCCACCACGTACACGTGGTCTTTGGGTCCGGGAGCCGCGGGCGCGAACGGGGGTACGGCGTAGACGCGGCCCCAGTAATCCTGGGGCAGGAGTTGTTCGGACACGTGGCCACAGGCCTTATTTCTCGCTTGCAGGCAACTGTGGCCAGCCAGCAGCGCGACGGGTTGAGTGGCCACGACGCGGGTGCCCGACAGGTCGCCTGCGCTCTGCACCTGCAGCGCCTGGAAGGGCTCAAGGCGCACGAGGAGGGGACGGCCGGCAGCATGCTCGACGCCATCCAGCAGGATGGGCACCGGCGGCGTGAGGCGTAGGCGCGTGGGCCAAGCGCCGGCCACCACCGCAAACTCCTTGTGCCGGTCGTGGGGCTGCAGCGACGGCGTTACCACCACGTAGCGCGTACCCAGGAGGCGGCGCGGAAGCGCTAGTGCCGTGTCTAGGGAAGTGCGCCCACGCGCGTTCACCACGGTCACTCCCACCGGTCGCGACGCGGCTAAGCGCACCGCGCCCCCCGCCGCCCGCCGCGAGCCCCGCAGCTCCACAGCGCTGGGCAGGCGCACCAAGGCAGTGGTGCCTGGCTGCAGGCTCAGCGCGCGCCGAAAGGCCTGTCCCCCCACCGGCTGCGCCCTCACTTGCACCGCCGTCGGGGGCCCCTTGGTCGGTGGCGACACGTACAGGCGGAAGCTGGGCTTCTCAGCGCCCCCATTCTCCAAGAAAGCCGTGATGAAGTAACGGCCCTGGAAATCCACAAATGCAACCGTTGGGCCTGAGGGAACCCAAGGGGAAAGGAGGGAGTCAGCGTAATCTGTTGGACTTTGAGGTCAAATACATCAGGTTTTAATCCTGACCGCCATGCTCTAGCCATGTCAACGTGGGCAAGGTACCACCTTTGGGCCTCAGTTTCCTCATCTGTCAAAAGGGAGTGTTGGCAGAGCTTTGAGAATATTAGATGAGATAATATATGTAAAGGCCATGGAACAATATCTGGTAAATATTAACTTTAAAAAAAGCTGCTGCCTTTGAACCATCTATCCCAGAAAGGCCTGCTCAGGCCCCTTCCCACAACCGGTTGGACCAATTCCCTGCCACAGAGTCTGCCCAAACAGTCCCTGGATCCAGCGGGCCAGGGCCCTGTCCCAAGAAGCTCCACCGTGGCTAGTCCCCTGTTACAGAACCATGGCAGGCAGCCCCAAACGCCAGCCAGGACAACCAGTCCCCTGCTGCAGATCCAGAGCAGCTCACCAGTCTTCTGCATCCCCCATGGATCACTTACCCCACAGGCAGCCCAGGGCACCAAGGCACAGCAGGGCAGAGGAGAGGGCAGCCATGGCCGGGGAGAGGGTGGACAGTTATGGTCTAGTGAAGTCTCTCGGTGCCAGTCTGCCTCCAGCCCTTGCACTGCAGGAGCAGAAGGGGGCACAGGGGGAATCCCAGAGAGGGGCTCAGTCCTCAGAGCCCAGGCAAAAAGGCAAGGCTGCAGGTCTCACCTGCAGGAGCTGGGCTGAGGCCACAGTGCGGGGGTATTTATAGTCCCAGATGCCTGAGCCCAGACCTCCCATCAGCACACCGGATGTCCCCATTAGCACTGGTTCCAATCTGACCTGGTGCCATTGATTGTAATGAGGCCTAATTATGTGGGTGGGGGCAGGGAGATGGGAGAGATGGAGAGACAGAGGGGGAGCGACACAGAGAGAAGAAGGGAGGGACAGATATGGGGAAGTGAATTAGGAGATCAAAGGGGGCAGGGCAAGAATACCATGGTTTCCAAGAAAGGCGGGTCAGGACTCCTGAGCCTGCCAAGGGCAGAGAGGCTTCAGGCTTGAACTTGAGGTGTCCTAGGAAGGAGGGGGCCAGGAGCCTGGACTCCTGGATTCTGAGGAAGGAGGGAAATAGATACTGGACTTCTGTGTCTCAGGGAGGAGGGGACTGGGGACCTGAACTCCTAGGTCGTGGAAGTGACAGAGGCAGGAGAGGGAGGTCACGATGTGCTGGATGTGCAGGTCTGGAGGATATGGGGTGGAGCTGCCCAAGGAAAGACAATGGCTTCCGCATGACTCCCCTCCTTCCAGAACGTCCTGAGCTGGAGAACAATGGGGTTGCACCCTGCAGAGAGGATCCGGGACGAAGGACGGGCTGGCTCTCCAGACAAGGAAAGGCCTTGGATTCAGTTTCCAGCCCCTTTTCTCCCAGGTCCTAGGAGCCTGCACCCCTAGCCCCTTTCTCCCCCCAGAACGCTTGCCTTTGGTAGGGAGGGTAGAGGGAGAATTCAAGAAGGAATTCTTTCAATAGCTTCGTTTCTCACCTGCTTAAGATCCTCCTCTGCTCTTCAACACAAGCAGAGGAGGTGAAGGAAGGCTCCCCCCAGGGCACAGGGAAACACGTGGGGGTGTAAAAGGGTGGGCTTTTCAGGGAGTACTTCCTTCCTTCCAGCCTGAGGTGGGGAACATATATGCTAGAGGTGGAGCTGGGGGCAGGTGGGGGAGGGGCAAGGCCTCTACTGCCAGGCTGAGTAGCTGGAACTTTGTCCCAGGAACCCAGGAGAGCCATGGAGGGTTCTGTGCAGAGGAGGGTCAGGTTTTGCTTTAGAAGATTCCCTGGACCAGAGTGGGAGACTGAAGCCAGGACCCCAGGGGGAGGAGATGCAGGGACCGAGGTGGGTGAGGCAGGAGCTAGAACAGGGTGGAGCCAGAGAAGGGAGGAAGGCTAGGTGGGAGGGCTGCGAGGAGGCTGAGTGGAGGGTTGCCCTGAGAGGAGCAGGGGAAGAGGGGCAGGTTTGGGAAGAAGCTAAGGCCAACGTGGGACCCAGTGGATGTGAGAGGCCTGGGGGCTGTCCAGGAAGCCGAGGGAAGCCAGGTTTAGAGGAGGGGCCAGCACTGGGGACAGAGATGTGGGGGTCTTCGGCAGAGAAGGAAAACAGGAGCATGGGGGCGTGTGGAGAGGTGCCACCCCAGAAGGAGGTGAGTGGAGAAGCAGGAAGGGGGTCCGTTCCCAGCCCCAGGGTGGGGGTGGGGGTGGAGGGCCCACAGTGTTTAGGGCTATGGATGAAGAGGAATTTCCAAAAGATCTGATGTTTTATCCGGAGGACTGGGGAGAGGGAATTGCCCTCCAGGGGTTCCACAGAGTTGAAGCCAGAATATACCCAGAATAAAGTCCTTTGAAGTCTTACATTTTATACTCTAAATTCTTGCCAATTTTGCATTCACTTTCATCAGTCTATCCATGTGAGTTCTCATATAAAGATTTTCAAGTACCTACCAGTGACACCCATTAACCTACCCTTGTGCACCCCACTCCCCAACAGTGAAAATCTTCAAGTGAAAATGAAGCTCTGGATTCAGCCTGTGGCTTTGGGTCTCCCCGGCCAGTCTCCTGGTGCATTGGGTGACTGTCACCCAAGTATTCAAGGCTCTTCATAAGCCTGCATCACAGTGACCAGACACTCTGACCCTTTCCACAGGCAGCCCAGCCTCCCACCCCGACCTTGTTCTTTGTCATGTGACACTAGCCACCCTCCCCACCATAGACAGATGGATCTTTCTGAAGTCCAAACCTGACCCCGATCCTCCGCCATGGTTCCTTAGTGCCTCTGGAATGGTGTCACTGCTCGCCAGCCTGGCAGCTGACATCCACCCGCTTCTTGAGCTCACCCCTCACTATCCGCCATCTTCTGCTCCGTGCTCCAGCGACACAGAACTTCAGCCAGCTCTTCAAGAGTACAGTACTCTCTTCCTTTTCTTGTGTTTTGCACACAGTATTCTCTGTCCTTGGAAAACCCTCTCTTCTCCTGGCTCTTTTTGTATATCCCACAAGTATGCAGGGCCCAGTGCGAAATGAAAATGTGGAGTCCTTTGTTCAAAAATTATTAAGAATTTCATGAGGGCGACAGCAGGGCATTCAACCGAGCACAGGGCCCTTCCAAACGTGAGGTGCTGTGGTGGGACGCACAGGTCACACTGCCATGAAGCTGGCCCCGCATTCAGGCCACCTCCCAAGCCAGGCTCAGTGAGGAGCCCGTTCTGGGCTCCCAAAGTCCCTTGCACTTAGACAGGCCCTAATCAGTCTTCCCTTGCGCTTCCCCTATCCCAGCCCTCTCCACTTTGGCATGCCATTGTTTAGTGAACATGTATTTCCTCCATGGGTCCGGAGCTCTGTGAAGGTGGGGTCTGGGGCTGGGTTGGTCCCCCCCACCCCCGGGTTCCCAGCATCGCTCTGTATGGATCAGGGCAGCACCAAGCACAGATGCCCATCCTTGTTTTTGTGAAGCATATAGGGGCACAGGCACCAGGGAGGAATCAAAGGCCGAGGCCACACTCAGGTTCAACCCGGAAGAGAAACATCCCTTTTCGGAGGACCCCTTTATCGGACTCCCCCCAGCACGTTCCCACAGAACGAGCTGTGAAAGCTTGGCATTAGCTGGCAAGGAAGGGACCCCAGACGCGGAGACACTCGGGGCCTGGGTTATCTTTGCCGCTAACCCAGACACATAGGTTGGATGTGGCAGCATGCAGACAAGGGAGCGTCCTGGTATGAGGACTATAGTTACCTCAAGAAAACGCTCCAGGAGCCTGGAACTTTGGTTCCAGGAAACCTGGTCTCAAAAATGTGCAAGGGCCGGGCACGGTGGCGCGCGCCTGTAGTCCCAGCTACTCGGGAGGCTGAGGCAGGAGGATCGCTTGAGCCCAGGAGTTCTGGGCTGCAGTGTGCTATGCCGATTGGGTGTCCGCACTAAGTTTGGCATCAATATGGTGACCTCCTGGGAGCGGGGGACCACCAGGTTGCCTAAGGAGGGGTGAACCGGCCCAGGTCGGAAACGGAGCAGGTCGAAAATGTGCAAGGCATTCTCAAAGCCACACAGGGGATGGGCCATGGGAGGAGGAGGAGCATTCCCTGGGCTCAGGAAATTGGTGGACTCAGCTGGGCAGTGTTGGACAAGCTACATTTTAACTTTAAATTCCAGATACATGTGATCATTTGTCCATAGTAGTATTGTTCCTGCATGGGGGTGGGGGATGACCCAGGCACCCTGTTGGGGAGGCAGAGGGGGGCCATGCTAGAGGAACTAGTCTGCCCCCATCTCTCTCCTCCCACACTCTTTGCTTCCAAATGTATAATTAGCTACCGCTGGGTGTGTATCCCCCTTCCAGGCCTGCATTTCCTGGAAGGAAATTCCCCCCGACCAGTCATGGTCTCTGCCTTGCAGAGCCAATGACCACGGTCGGCCTGGTACTTGAACCTGGAAAAAGTTCTTAATTCTTATGCTACAGAGAGGTCAGCTTCCTCATCTGAAGGATGGATCCTTGCATATCAGACACCTGGGTCCCACAGCTCTTTTTTCCAGTCTCTGCAAGCTTGCCTGAGAGCCAGATCATTGGATAGTGGTCCACACTGTCCTCCTTTGCACAGGGGACAGAGGCCCCTGGTGAGGTAGTCTCAAATCTCTCTCCAGTCCATCCACTCCAGGCCCCAACCTCGTTTGGGTCAGCGTTCTGCCTGGAGCATTGCAATAGCCCCTTCCTTGGTCTCCCTTCTCCACTTCTGTCCCCCACATCAAATAGACCTACCACTGGAGCTTCCTGAAGAAGGAAGCTTCTCCTCCCTGTTCAAAACCTCCAGTGGCTTCTCATGCCACTTATAATAAAACCCAGACTCTTCCTGGCAGGCTACAGTGTCCTGCATTATCTTTCCTACCTCCCAGCCTCAACACAGCATCATTCCCTCACCCTGCCTCAGCAGCCCCCTTCAGGCCCTGTTACTCATCATGCACCCCCCGGCCCCTACACTTCTGCACATGCTGTTCCATTTGCATGGGATGCCCTTTCCACCCCCAGTGCAGTTAACTCCAACCTGAGCATCCTTCAGATCTCAGCGGAGTAGTCACTTCCTCCAGGAAGCCTCTCTTAACCTCAATTCCTGGGTCAGGTCTCCTGGTTATAGGGTCTCACGATTCCATGGATCTCTCCTGCATGCCCCAGCCCTCCCCTCGCCTCACCACAGATGCTTTACACTGGCTTGTGTGATGATTTCACATGTTTCCCCACCAAATGGTGAGATATGTGAGGACAGGACCTGTGCCTGTATTTGCTCAGTATTGAATTCCCAGTATGCTGCACATGTAGGCTCACAATAAATTATTCAAATTTAAAAAGAAGGGTTGAGGGGGGGGCGCCTGGGTGGCTCAGTCGGTTAAGCGTCTGCCTTCAGCTCAGGTCATGATCCCAGGGTCCTGGGATCGAGCCCCGCATCAGGCTCCCTGCTCCGCGGGAAGCCTGCTTCTCCCTCTCCCACTCCCCCTGCTTGTGTTCCCTCTCTCGCTGTGTCTCTCTCTGCC